AAATCTTCTAAAATTTCCAGCATCATTGCCCTCGTTCTCTGCTCCATGATGATTGGATTCTCTCATCAGCAAGTGGTTGTTCCAGCCTATTCAGCAGCCTATTATCCATCTGCATATGCCTATCCATCTGTCTATTCTCCATATCTCACTGCTGCTGCTTATCCATCCGTCTGGGCATGGGGATCCAACAAGAACAAGGCTAATGGAAATGAAAATGCTCCAGCTCCATCTTTGGTGAACAACAGACCATAAGGAAATTATTCGAAACGAAAATTTTTGATTTTTTTTTGTAAATCTTGCGATCCCCTTTTTTTTGTGCAATAAACGATTTTCTTGCCGAATTTTTCCTTTCAAAAATTATAATTTCAGATCAAAAATTGAAAAATCTTTTGAATTCTACATACATACCATTCCGGATTTTTTAGAATTCTTTGAATGTTCAGGAGTTCTTTTCAAGTTCTAACTTCCCTGAAAATCCTGAAATTCAGGATTTCTGATTTTTAAAAAGAGTTTCTAGAAAGTTCTGAATCTCTTGATTTCCAAAAAAAAAAATGCTGCACTCTAAAATTTCTAAATTTTCCAGTTCTCTTTCTCCCCTTAATTTTATCATCTTTACTCCATAAACCAAATTTTCCTTGTTTAATTTTCAATTTCAAAATTATCACCCAACCGTTTCAAAGCCATAAAACAACGCATGATAATTTTATGACCTTTTTTTCAAAATTTTGCTAATTTTGCTGGTTATCACATTTTGAAATGGCAAGGAAAAAAGTTACATCGTGTGTCTAAAAGTCGTTAAATGATTCAGAAAACTGGGAAACAACATCCTGCTACGCCGTTTTTCGTCATTTTGTGTCGTGATGACAGTATGAAGTTTAGGGTATACACCCCTGTTTTTTTGAAGCCTTTATATCTCGTTTTCTGTGACAGATATAAAAAAAAGGTCAACTGACAAAACGTTGGCTGTATTATGATAAATATTTTGTTAGTTTACTACTTTTTGATATCTGTTACAAGTACCCAGATAAATTGGGTCAAAGTTGGAAACTTTTTTCATATGCGCCATTAGTCGTCGGCCCGGTGCGATACGTCAAACCTTACGACATCTTGCAGACCAAACAACATTACAGTTTCTTCATTACACACAAACACAATACCTCACGGCAAAACTCACACAAATTATTCACAATAGGTATCAGTATCACATGAAGCCACCTCACAGACATATCTCTCGGGTACAGTATACTGATTGGTATTTTGCCATCCAACAGAAATCTCAGTGGCAATGGCTTGTTGATTCAAAACTGCCGTGTTACTTGAGGATTGTTGAGGGAATCCTGGATTCCACAAGCTGTCATTCAGCTGAAACTGAAAACAAAGTTGGAATTTTTGTCGAAAGAATGTGTGCTCTACTAATGATCCAATTATCTGATCCTTACCGGCACAAGTGCATGTCCCACGGGTTGCTGCCAAAAATATCCTCCATTCACATAGCTCAATCCGATGTGATAGACATATGGCTCAGGGAACGAGGTGTCGTTTTGGATGAGCTCTGTAGGTAGTTTTTTGTGGTGCTCAAAAAGGCCTGTCAAAACTTACTAAAAACAAAATCGTGCTTCTGCTTATCAAATTCTGTGACCATGTATCCGGACTTGATCATGTTCTGGCATCCGAGTTTCGCGGGGGCCCATGCGGCAGTGAGTGCTACCGGTTTCAGGCAAACGCCGTATTTCGGTGAGCCATCAACGCCAAATTCTTTGCGGTATTGGTGCCAGAGGCTGGAGCAGAAGCAGTTAGCTGAAAAAGGCTGACAATTGTTTCATGCTCAACATTCTTTGTTCAGCTGAAATTGGACAACAGAGTTCCCCAAGATGAAACCGTTTGTGAAACTGTAGTATCCTCTTCAAAAATAAACTAGCTGTGAAACAAACACAAACTTTTGATTCCTTAAGTGGTTTTAAAGAAAAGTCTCACTCTTAATCATTGCTCCCTGAATCTCCCGAACCAAATCCGCGTCCTCATTCGTGAAGTTGAATCCAGGACTTGCGATTTCTCCAATCGCCTTCACAACTCCCTCATTTCCAGTTTGATCGAATGCCACCGTGGCAATGCTTACTCCAGATGACTTCATTCGTTCTGCGGTCGGACGTGGATCCTCTTCTCCGTCATCTCTATAATCCGATGCGTAGATCAGAACCAGCTGTTTGTAGTTTGAACGAGTCGCGTTCTTTCTGCCAGCGGAGAGCACTGACTCAGCCGCGTCGAGCCCTCTGGAAATTTTATAGAAATCAAAGTTTGGTGCGGGAGACAGTTTGGGGATTAACCGATTTCTCAACCGTGTAGCTCAAAGAGAAGCAGAGAAACAGAATGTCTCGCTTCTCTGCTCTCTCTTTTTATACAACACTATTTCCTCACTTTGCCAAATACACCTCATCCGATGCGCTCAATTTAGGGAGAATTTGGAAAACCGAGTTGAACAGATCATCAGCTGATTGGAAGCGGTTCAGATCGGCTTGCTGGAAAAATTTACTTGTTTTCAACTGTTTATAACTTCCTTCAAAATCAAAGTTTTTAAAGAATTCAAAATGGATTTTGTAGCTCTTTACATTATCTATAAAATGATACAAAATAAGACAACTTTCCAGTTCTGGATAGTTCGGGGAGGAAGCGATAACCTTGAGGAGTCTGAACTCTGGTTCGCCGCTTTCTTCTCAAAAATCTATTGTTCAAAAACAATCATATTGCATATCGATTTGTAGATAATTTCAAGTTTCCCATTTTGCATTTAACCTTTTCCGAAAATAATCACCTTGGAGCAATTTATATCATCTCAAAGCCCCCTTACCACAGTCGCCTGATTGTTATACGTGACCAATCCAACGCGAACGGTCCGTTTATCACTGTAAGCGATTGTTCCGATCCGTGTACCGCCACCAAATATCGTCACGATTTGAGCAGCCACCTGATAACAGTTTCATAACTTTTTGAAGCGAATAACACTTCCGGGAATAGAGAGAGAGGAAGAAAAGTTCAGTTCGAAAATCAATGTTACAGTTTTACGACGTTGTATCTCAAGAATCAGGACAGATACCAAAAAGGACTAGTAAAATTTGCTAAATTTGATGATTTTCTTTTTGTAATTAGTCGTTTTTTGGAATCTCTTAAGGCTAAGGAGATACATGCTTTGGGCTACAATACGCATAAGGTGTTTCAATGATGCGCAAGGGTCGGCAACTTTGACCCAAATTTTCTCGCTTCCTGGAAGAGATTGAAACAAGTAATATACAAACAAATTGTTTGTCATAATATCAAAATTATTTTGTTAGTTGACTACTTTTTGATATCTTTGAGAGCAAGTGAGATAAAGAGACGCAGACGAGCAGCCTCTAGCTTCTCTATCCCCTCCTCCTGAAGCGCGGGCACTTTAAATCGATTTATCTATCTTGCTGTAAGAGATATTTACAAGGAGCTTACTGATTAAATATTTTAAAAATTATGATAAACATTTTGTTAGTGGACCACACTTTAATATCTTCTGAAAGAACCGAGATAAATTGGGAAAAGTAGGCAACTAGGGAGTCTGCGCTCAAGAATGGGAGGAAGCAGAAAAGCTTCTCAGGTTTGACCCAATTTATCTCGGCTACTGTAAAAGATATAAAAAAGTAGTAAACTACCAAAATGCTTCTCATAATATCAAAAATATTTTACTAGTTTACCACTTTCTGATATCTTTCCCAGGAGCTTTGAGTCATATACAGACATCCGGACAAACAAACAAAACAGACAAGATTACCTCTGTTAATCCCGCCTGTGTCATCCCTATCGAATTATCCACAACCACTACCACATCCAACCACAGATTGGATAGATCATTTCCACACGATCTATCGGTTGGCGGATTCTGAGCCAGAATCTCAGATGACGTGGCGAGGAGAAGTAGCCACGTCGCAAATAACAGCATCTGCGACTTTTCCGGAAATTATTTCTTCTAAACAATGACAAATTAATTGAGAAAAGAAGCGAAAAGGTCGCAAAATTTTATGATTTTTTTTCTGAATTTCAGGTGATAAGGAACGAAGGAGAATAATGACAAAACACGTCACTTTCAATGGAAAAAAAGATTTGTCTGAAAATGTCCAAACTGAAAGTTCAACAGAAAAAAATAAGGGTGTGGCTCTTTTTTCAGATATCAGTTCATCCTCTCGATCGTTAAAACCCCCATATTAATATTATGATAATCTGAAAAATTTACTTTCAAAATCTGATGATCCTATTTGCGCTTTGTGTACCCAGAGTTAGTGCCGCTGATAAGAGAAAATGTGTCTTATCAGTGATGATGGCAGGAGGGAGAAAATTGGCTTAAAATACGCCCCCCTACCGCTAAATTTTCAATCAGTGTCTTCTCTTTTTTTCATGAAACTTGTTCTTCAATTTTCTAATTTTTCAGGTTTTTGAATTCTGGAGTCCCCTAACTTTAACCTAGTTTATCGCGGTTTCTGTGTAAGGTATCTAATAGTGGTCTACTGATAAAATATTGCTGATTTTATGATAAACATTTTGTTAGTTGATGACTTGTTGATATTTTTCACTGGAAACGAGTAAAACGAGCTCAAAGTTACGGTAGGTCTTTTTTGCTAGGCTTGGAGCTAGCTTACTAGAAGCCGATTCCTGATGACAGTTTTGGATGATTTTTAAATCAATATAGATCATTCCAATCTAATTTTAAACCAGCGATTGCTCAGCTCAGCCGCTATCCGCTGTTCCACGCGGTACGCCAACTCCCAAAAGTGCATAACCCCAAAAGTGCGAAACCCTCTAAAAATTGGTTCCCAACCATTAAAATATTTAGAATTCGGCATAGCAAAAACTGTCTCAAAGAGCCCCTGGAACCTGAATCTTCAAAAGTCTTTATGCTATTTCGTTGTTCTCTCTTCTTTTTCCGTTGGCTTCCAGCAAACCCCTCAATTTTCAGCCATGTTCAAACTGGTAACTTTGGCACTCGCCTGCGCGGCTTTCGTCTCTTCTCAGACTGCCACTTGGAACCCATGGGATCCGTACACCACAGACACCCCCGGATACCAAGCCTCGACTCCCCCACCAACCCCAGGAGGTACCAACGTGGATCGTGAATGCGGAGGAGACCTCGCGAACCTTTGGCTCGACGTCGTCGTCGTTGTCGATAACTCCAAGGGAATGACTGCCGAAGGAATCACTGAAGTCGCTGCAAACATCGCTACAGTTTTCGGAAACGGAACAAAGATCGGAACTCAGTACACGGATCCAAGATCCACTCGTCTTGGTTTGGTCACCTATAACGGACAGTCGACCGTCGTTGCTGATCTTAACGCCATTCAGTCCATCGATCAGTTGTACAGCACTGTGTTCTCCGCGTTGAGCTCTGTGAGCACATCGGATGACTCGTACTTGGCTAGAGGAATCGGAGCTGCGGAGATGGTTTTGCAGCAGGGCAGAAATAATGGAATCCGTTCCAACTACAAGAGATTGGTTGTTGTTTATGCCTCGGCTTACAAGTGAGTCTAACTAAGGGTTTCCAACTTAACCTGTAGGCCTAGCTGGGGATACACCAATTCCATATAAAATAATTCGGAGGGTACAAAACTTCTGGGGTCATTGGGGTACAAAACAATTTAGGGTCCAGAATCCTCAATTCGGGATACAAAATACCTGAAAAATTCCAACTTTGTACCCCCGAATTGTGGATTTCGATCCATAGATTGCTTGTCGTACCCCGAACTTTTGTACCTTCCGAATTAACTGCTCAATTCCATATAACGTTTTTTTCTGTAATTTGTAAGCTTGGGATTAGGTTATAAGATAAGAATGTGATTATAATCTGATTATCACTAACGAGCACGTTTCCATATTTTTCAACTAAAGAGGATTATCACAGGATTAGGTTCACTTTTTGCATGTAACAAGAGCAGGAAAAAGACTCAAAGTATATCAAAATAAGTTTGTTCACAGAGCGAACTTTCTGGTTTCTCTTCCAATCTAAAATATAAACATATATCTTTCAGGGGAGAAGGAGAACTTGACCCAATTCCAGTCGCCGACCGTTTGAAGGCATCTGGAGTCGTTGTCTCCACTGTCGCTTTCGATCAAGACGGAGATGAGGCTCTTCTCGCTGGACTCACCAACATCGCCTCTACCAACTACGCCTACACCTCCAAGGATTTGAACCTCGTCGGAGAGCTTCAAGGAGTCGCTCTTCAGAGTGAGTTAAAAATGAATGGTTTTGTAAGGGATGGGATTTTTTTAATCGCTGAAATCCCAATGAAATCTATCCCATCTGACATCCAACCGGGCCGGGCCCGGTTCACCTGGAATTTTCCAAGTATCACATAACCTTCTATCTTTCCAGCCAACTGCTTCTGCCCCAACTTGTGGACCCAATACAAGGCCAACTTCGATGACGAGAACTCTTACAAATACGGAGTTTGCATCCGTTCAGCCACCATTTCCTCATCCTGGACCGCCGCCAAGTTCGCTTGCCAGAACCTCGCCAAGAACGGATTCCTCGCTACCGAGTTTGACGGACAGAAGCACAACTTCATGTTCAGTGAGTTATAGACTCCCCTGTGATGTCAAGGTTTGAATTTCTAAATTTTCAGAGGTCGCCAGAAACAACACCGCTTTCTCCGCCCCATACATCTATCATATCGGTTTGAGCTACGTCAATGGAGGATGGAACTGGCAACAGCCAGCTGGATATGCTCTTAAGCCAGTGAGTTTGGGTTTAGGTTTTGACTGAATGGTTTTTGAAAGTCAGTAACTTTTTTCATGAACTAGCTATAGTTTGGAAAATAGTACCATTCTGTAGCACTGGTCAAGTTCTTTTATATGAATCTGATTTGGTCAAAATATATTGATTCCGAAAAATTTTTTGAATCGGTTAGTTTAGGTTTCATCCTGTTGACGTGTTCAAGAAAGTCACAGTTTTCTTATCGTTCGGTTTTATGACATCAGATGATAAATGTCATTCAGCCAAAACCAGAAAGTCAAAGCTGATAATCATATCATTGAACAATTGCACAAGATCAAACGATCAAAATTTCGTTAATACTGTCGTCAACCGAAGTCTTTTCAGCTTGTCGGCTACTCGTCCTGGAATCCATCGTACCCAAAACAATTCTCCAGTAACATCGGTGTCGTCAATCAACAATTCAGCTCGGATTTGACTGTCGGATGGCAGAATATCAACGGATACAGTGTCGCTGAGTACTACATGTGCGAAGTCGCCTCGTGTGATACACAGAACTATTGCGCATAAATTATTGTGTAGTTTTTTTTATTTGAAAAATGAAAGTTGATTTTTTTTGTAAAAGAAATATTTTGAAGAGTCGGTATGAATGCTTTAATGATGTGTTTGTTTTTATTCTGTCATTTTGAGACTTTGAGACTCTTACAATTAGATTCTGAAATTCTGAAACACTGAGATCCTGAGATTCTGAGATTCTAGGAATCTGAAATCCTGAGATTCTGAAATGTAGATAATCTTAAATTCTGAGAATCCTATATTCTGAAATTTTGACGGTCTGAAAATTCGAAGTTTTGAGATTCTGAAATTCGGAAATCCTGCGTTTCTGACGAAGAAATTTTGGATTGTTTTCTTGGAATTTTCTTGAATTTCTGAATTTCCAGTTTCAGGTCCTTTCAAAAAGTTCGAACTTTTTGAATTTTTTTTGAAGTTCAAATTGTTTTTGAAATTTCTGAGATTTCGAAATTCTGTAATCTGAAGATTCAGAGATCCTCAGATTTTGAAATTCTGAAAATCATGAGCATTTTCGAAAATCGGAAACTATTAAAAATTTATTTTGAAAAATTGGTTGCTATCAAAAGATTATTAATCATTTATCACCGAATTCTAAGCATATTCACAATAATTATCAGTATCACAAGCCACTTTCTCACACAAAAAGTGAAAGTTGTTGACGCAACTGACTGGTGTCCAGGCGGTCTGAAAATTTCAAAATTGTATGAATTTTCAAAAAAAAAATGCCTACCGTTCCATCCGAATACTTCATATCAGCAACACAAGCGGCACGTGCCGGTGGAGCTCCCGAATTTGGGTCAAGCTGAAATTTTGACATTTTTAAGGCAAAAGTTTTAAAGGACATGAAAAATAGTATTTTAAAGGTGGGGGGACATGAAAAAATAATGTTCTCGAAATTCCGTTCAAAGATGCCCCTCGAGGAGTTGAACTTGTGAGGGCGATGATTGAGGGTGCCGGCTGAGCCACGCGGGCAAAGAGAAAGCGCACGCCCGAATACATAAAGGCGAGGACGACAGCTGTACGCAGAGTGACATTAAGCGTTGTACACCGTGGCGGTAGAATGCATACTCTAGCTACAAAAAAACTACGAAAAATCTCCTGTCCCCCCACCTTTAATATTCCTCTCATAAGCTTCTCAATTCAGAATTTTTTTTTGAAAATACCAGGAATCCGAAAAATTAAAAACGATCAAAAAGTTTAAATAGTTTCAATGTCTAGAATCTCTGAATTTCAAAACTTCTGAATTTCAGGATCACAGGATTTCGAAATTTCTGATAACGAGCCACCCAGCTTTTCGAATTAAACAAAATTTTAAAAACAAATTACCGGTTGAAGTGGTTTCTGATCTGGTTGATCCCAAAACCAGACATTGTTCAAATTGATGAGACCATTATAAAAGGCGTTGACTGGTGAGGAGGACATGGAGTTGAGAACGGCTGCAAAATTTCAGATGAAGCTACAGTACTCCTTGAAATTGCCAATTTTAGAGCCCTACAAAAGTGGTTCCGAGTTTTTTGATTTGACTGAAACTTTCAGTAAATATTTAACAAAAACAGAGCTACATTTTTGTAATTGACAACTTTCTCGCAAAACTCAATCCTGGTGAGATAGCAACCTAAATATTTACTATTTCACACAAAAGAAATTCTAAAATCTGATATATTTTTTGCTCGGTTTTCTACGAACTTACCAAAATTAAACGTCCTCTTCTGTTGGTCCAGTTCATTGACCAAATAGGCATTGTGATAATTCTGATGGCAATATTGTTTGGCACCCTCGCGGTTCGATTGCACATTCGGTGCGTAGACACAAGTACCGTAAGCCTTTTGATTCACGTTCCACGGCCAAGTGTATTGAATCCAACCGGAGTTACAATAGCAGTTTACTGTAATTAAGCACGAGCAGTTTGGAATAAAATTTTTCGAAATTTCTCAAATATTAAAAAAAAATCAGATTCAAACTTCGCGGAACTGGCTGAAATGTTGTCAACGTATTTAACAAAAAACGATCTATAATTTTGTAGTTGACAACTTTTTTGCATACTAAATTATTTAAAAATTATGACACTTGGAAATTATGCGACCATCAAAATGAGGGGCTTGGACTGCTGCGAAAATGATATAAATTTTTCTGGACTGCGTTCTGAGAATATAACATCACCACGGGATTTTCCGTAGTCTGTTACCCAAATCTTCAATTTTATAGCTCGCTAGCTCAAGGTTTCGTAAGGTGTGGTGTAAGTGGTGTCTACAGACAATACAGCTTACCTTACGACATTTCGACCTAGCGAGCTAAAATTTGATTCTGGTGTGAAATTTTACAACGAATTCTGTGATACGCATATTTTTTAGCCAAAATCAAATCTTTTCAGTAATTTCTCAAAATCACTCACTATCAGTCATGGCCTTCTGAATTTCTTGAGTAACATTTCCATCATAAATGGCAAATGCCATATTGGTACTAGCAATATTTTTCAGCCATGACTGTGTATCCGAACTGGATCCGGTGTTTACAGTAATCACTGGGATTCCCTTCATCTGAAGAGATTTTGAGACGTCTTTTGGTGGATTGCTCTTGTAGGTTCTGAAAATTTTCTGAATTTTGAAAGCCCGCGCTTTTTCTCACCCATGCACATTTGTGAATACAATAACCACTTTCTTGTAATTATCTCGGAAACCGGCAGTCGAGTTGATCATATTCATGGCTGCGTAGAGAGCTCTGAAGACTACAGTACTCCCCGATAAACCTGCACATCTAACTCACGTATCCATTCTGCTGACAGTCGTCGTTGTCAGTGGTGTCATTTTGAGACGCTGGATTTGACTCTTCAGGTCATCGTAGGATTGAAGTTTGTAGAAATCGGCGACCTGGAAATTTCAAATTTCTGGTTGAAATTTCATATTTTTTGGAAAAACAGAATTACCACTGAATTCCCGTAGTCTGTTGCCCCTATTTCCAAATTTTCAGCTCTCTAGCCTATAGTGTCGTAAGATGTGGTGTAACTGTATCTTGGTGTTTACAGAAAATACACCAAACCACACGACACTTTTAGCTAGAAAGCTGAAAATTTCGATTCCGGGGTAGAATTTTGCGAGGAATCTGGTAGTGATAATATTTTCAAGCTAAAATCATGTTAACATCTAAAAAATTGAAAAAAAAACTCACATCTGTCGCATTGTAATTGTACGTAATAAATCCGACTCTTGTACTTCTGGGATCCGCATATCCAGTTCCAATTTGAAGATTTTTGTCGAAAAGTGACAAAATTGTCTCGTAGACCAAATTGGTGCTAGCTATTTTGCAGTTATCAATGATGATAACGACATCTAGCCACATTTTTGTCACATCCGAAGCACATTGTCTATCACTGATGGATAGAGAATTGGGGAATACTAAAAAACGGGTTGGTTTAAAGGGTAATAGATTTTCCCATTGAATTTCTCTCAAAAAAACTAACCAGATTCAAAATTTTGAGTCGTCTATCTCTAATTGTCAGGTTTGGTGCATTGTTTGCCAACACCATACCCCTTAAAGTTTTGAAAAACCAAGTACGCCACAAGATTTTTCATGTAGGATTCTACAGTAGGATTACACCTACAGTAACATTTTGTGCTCTCTATCACAGTGTGTCGTAAGGTGTGGTGTTTGCAGACCATACACCATAGTTTACGACACTTTGAGCTAGCGAGTTGAAGATTCAAATTCTTGGGTGAAATTTTACGACGAATTCAGTGGTTCAGTTAGATTTTTGATAATTTTCAAAGGTTTCTCTAGAAAATTCAAAAAATTAGAACTCACCCAAAAATAGCAAAAACACTCCGAAAAATCTTTTCATTTTTTTGCTGAATGGAGTGTAGAACGAAAAACTGCGGTTTTGTACTCTTTAATCAGTAAAAATTTAATTCCCTTTGGCATTTGAAAACGATGATAAAATTAGTCAAATAGGCACAAAAAAAATTTTCTAGAAACCCTCCAACAAAATTTATACACACATCTCGATTCGGAGAGACGCAGAGAAAAAAATCAGCGATTGCCGCCGCCTTTATGTATGCCTTCTTCTCCTGTCCTCCTGTTCGCCTCATTGGCTCAGTGGCAGAGCGTCTGTCTAGTAAACAGAAGGTCGCTGGTTCGATTCCAGCATGAGGCACCGAACTTTTTTCTATTTTTTAAATTGGGTTTGTGAATTGAAAGTAGAAGAAAAACAATATTTATTGATCTATTGCATAGAATCACAATAATTGTCAGTATCACAAGCGACAGATTCACACAAAAATCTAAAAAGATTCGTACAACTGATTGGTGTCCATGAGTAGGTTCCATCAGAATATTTCATATCGGCTACACATCCAGCTCGTTGGGGTGCAGCTCCAGAAGACGGGTCAAGCGGCCACATTGGCATTCCATTCGGTTGGTCCCACCACCAGGTACCATTGAAGCTGGTTAGACCGTTGTAGAAGGCGTGGGTGGCGCTTCCATTCGAGTTGAGGTACTCTGAAAGAAATTTGGGTGTTTTTGTTCGACTCAGAAAACACAATTAAAATTGATTTTAGTTAGAAAATATTTGCACCACTGAAAATCTAATATAATTCTACCCCAGAATCGAAATTTTCAGCTCGCTAACTCAAAGTGCCGTAATATAAAATGCATTGTCTGCAAACACCGCCTAAACCATACCTTACGACACTTTGAGCTACAAGGCTGAAAGTTTGAAGATAAGGGTAACAAACTAACAAACTATTCAGTGGTGATGTTGGTTTCTCAAAATTTGGTCCATCTCACCCCAATTGAACGCCCGTTTCTGTTGGTCCAATTCGCTGACCAAATAGCTCGTCATTGTCAATCCATGACAATAATTCTGTGCATTAATTCTATTCATGGCAATTGCTGGACTATACACACAAACACCATAATTCTGGTATATGTCCTTGGATTTCAATGGATAGTGATATTGCATCCAGTCGGGACGGCAGAAGCAATTGACTGAAATTCAATTCAAATTTTCCAAGGCTTATCAATAGAGCGCGTTTACTCACTAGCCAACAAAGCGCGAGTCAATTCCTGTGTTGTGTTTCCATCGGCCATTGTGAACGCCATTTGTTTGCTGGCAATTTTATCGTGAAGGTTTTCCTGAACATTATCATCTCCGCCAGTGTTAACTGTGATAACAGTAGCACCAAGGGATTTTAGGACCTTGGCTTGATCCTCCGGGTAGTTGTAGTAGTAGCTGCAAAGATGGAGGGTATCTACTGTAACCCTTTCACTATCGTTCTCAGAACCCCGGAATTACTTTTTTTTCTATTTTTCCAAATTTAAAATTCATTCCAGCTCAGAAACATTGTCATCGCTGGCATCCTAGTTAAATTCTACCCCAGAATTGAACTTTTAAGCTCTCTAGGTCAATGTAGCGTAAGAGGTGGTGCATGGTACGCAATCAACAAACATCGTATTTAACGACACTTTGAGCTAGACAACCCAAAAATTTACTGTATGTGTGGTGTTTTATGAGAAATTTCGTAGTAAACTTGGTTTTTTTAAAATTTTGAGTTCAATTTACGATTTCCTAGTCGATACTCAATAAAACATCCGATTTTTTGAGGTTCAAAGCAGATATTCTGGAAAACTAGTAACATTTTCGGATTTACCGTCAAATTTTTTCCTAGGTTAGAAATTTACATCCCGCTAACTCAAAGTGCCGTAATAGAAGGTGCACAGCCTGCAAACTAAAAATCTAAAACACAAAAACTCACTCATACTGCGATGTAAAAAAGACGACAACTTTCTGATAATTATCTCTCAACCCTTGAGTGGCATTAATCATTCGAATTGCTGCTCCAAGTCCAGAATCAATATACGAATGATCATCTCTGGATAATGGAGTAGTGCTGAGCAATTGGATTTGTTGGTTCAAGTCATTGTAGGATTGCAGCATGTAGAGATCAGCAACCTGGAAAATTGGTCTTCTGGATCTCCATATTCAGAAAAACCAAGTCTACCACAAGTTTTCTCATGAAATTCTTCTCCAGGTTCGAATTTTTCAGTTTGCTAGCTTAAAGTGTCTTATGATGTGGTGCAACTGTATTACGGTGTTTGCAGACTAGACACCTCATCTCACGACACTTAGAGCTAGCGGGCTATAAATATCGAATCTGAAGTAGAATTTTGCGAGGAATTCAAAAATGACAATATTTTCATGCTAACATTACTTCGAAATCTTGGAAAAATTTCAAAAAAAAGCCTTACATCAGTGGCATTGTAATTGTACGTAATGAATCCAACTCTTGTGCTCCTCGGATCATCATATCCGGTACCAATTTGAATTAATGGGCTGAATAATGCGGAAATTGTGTTATAAACATTGTACAAGTTCATATTTTTCGAGTTGTCCACAACGAAAACGACATCCAACCATAGTCGGGTGAGGTCTGATCCACACGATCGATCAGTTACCGATTGGGATGGTGATGCGGCTGAAAATTGGAATTTCAGAAAAAGTGAAATTTGAAAAATCATGGCTTACCTAAAACCAATAAAAATAGCGTTGAAATTTTAAGCATTTTCAGTCAGAACTTGATTAAACACAAAAATTGATAAAAATTCCAAAATTTCGCTTCGTCTTTTATTTGATTCTTAACCAAACTGATAACAGGTAGAAAAATGACGAAAAGCGTTTTGGATGAGAATTTGAAAAATTACTCACCCATCAAAAAGGTCTTCGTTATTTCGAGGGGAATTATGTGTAGCATGATTGCTTGTGGTTTTTGCGTTTTTCAAATTGGACGGAAATCGAAAAGATTAGAAAAAAGGTCATGATGCAAAAGAAATTATCTATGATTTGTAATTTTTTTTGAGAAAGGTTGAAAGATCGAATGGGTGTGGCAATTTCTGAATATTTGAAAATGATTTAAAATTCAGAAATTCAGAAACTCGATGGAGAAGTTCGAAAAACACTGAAATTTCAGAAAATTCTAAGAAGTTCCCAGAACTCTGAATTTTCTAAACTTTCGAGAAAATCGAGGCAGATCGGAAATTAAAATTGTTTTTTTTAGTTTGAAAATATTTGGAAACTCGAAACTATTCGGAATTCAAAAACACTGAATTTCGGGAATTCCATAAATACAAAGTCTCTGAAATCTTGAAATCATGCTCATGCAGCTTCCTGGTCAGTTCCGCCCCTTTTTTCTTCTTCACCTATTCACTGATTATTATCTCTTCCGGTATAACATACCAAAGACACCTGCACTCTTATTGATCGTACCCTGATGGCACCCTGATGTTCAATATTTCTCCCAGGAGGTAAAATCTCTTTTTTTTTAATGCCGATTTGTTTCCAATTTAACAACAAATTTTTCAGATTATCATTTTTATTGAATTTCAATATAATTAGTATGGAAACATACAAAAATAAACATACTCAGACAAGGACAAAGTTCCTGCCGGGGGGTTAAGAAAGATGCCGGCAGGCTATTGAAGTGGTGGCAGGAGAAAGTACCTGCCGGGATTTTAATTTGCAAATTTTATTATTTTGTTTTAAAGCTAAAATTGATTATGTCTATTATTTTACTGAATTTTTTTACGAGGTATATAAAATTATTTGTTCCGACACTGTGTACATTCTGAAAAGGAAAAGTATTGCTCCGACATTGCAAATTTCCTTATATTTTCCAGAAAATCCCAAAATGACTCCTCAAACACCTCGCGGTCGTTTTTGCAACAATGGATCTGTGTCTACGTTTCCTCCTTCAAAATAGTCAAAATAAGCAAAAAATAAAAAATCTCAAACCAAATAAAGTTCCAAGATACCATCATTACCAGTTATGGGAAAAAGAACAACCGGGGAACAAGTGAGAATTATTATTTAAATAGGTCCTCATCGCCGGGAACCCATTGGTCGAGTGGGTTCCTTTTTCAACTTCCAGCCACGTCTTCTTTGCTCCGGTCCTTTTCGTCAAATCGAAAAATTCTGGAAACATATTTTATCTTGATTTTAATCTTCAGTTTTTCATAAGCCCCAAATTTATGGCAAAAAAATTCTGAGGTGCAACTGATTTAGGCAAAAATTTTTATTTTTGAAAACAATTTTTTGAAGAGTGTAAAATGCTCTAAATGTTCAGAAATGATTTAAATACTATTTTCATAAAATATTGATTCGGTCTTGAGCCCCTCTAACAAGCCAAAAATCGCTCGAAATCAACTGAAAGTTATTTTTTGACCCAATTTTCTCGAAGCTCACTGTCATTTCGAAAAAACAGAAAACATATTTCACATTGAAATTTTGTGGGCTTTTCTGTATTTACCGTAGCTGATCCCAAATTCATCATTTCAAAATGGTTATACATATTATCGTTGTTTAAAAAAAGTTAGGAGCTGATATTCTGTTAAATTTTACTTAAAGTCGCAAGACCGTACTTTTTGAGCCTGTTTTAAATGTTGCTTCATCAAATTTCGACGATTTTTGTCATTCAAAAAAAATGAGACATTCAAAAATTGACAACTTTCAGAAAAATCAAAAGAACTTTTCATTCATTTCCTCAAAAAAATTAATAATGCTTGAAAATCAGAATTTTCTCAGAATCTTCTCCTCGTCTTCCATCTCTTCCATCTCTCCCATTTTTTTCAAAATCCTTGGCATTCTCCATCATCCATTTTCCTCCAGTCATTTCGAGTTCCTTCTCATTCTTTTCAAATTTTTTGTATTGCTCATTTTTTTTCAAATTTCTCATTTTTTGCTCAAAATCCGAACGATGTTGATGATGAACTTTCAATTTTTTCTTTGGCACCAAATCTTCCATTTTAATTTTTCTGACATGCTTTTTTGGCTTTGGTCCATGTCCAGGTTTTTGAGGATTCTGAAAATTGGAAATTAATGAAATTGTTAAATTAATTTAGAAATTCAGAAATTCAGGATACATTGGAAGTTCCGAAATTTTTAGCAGTCCAGAGAACTTGGATTTTTCGGAACTTCGAAAATTCTAGAAAAAATCTGTGTGTCTGTATTCCCAGATGTCCTACCTTGTGTTCCTCAGAAGAGGATGATGAGGAAGAAGAAGAAGACGATGACGATTTTCCTGAGGTGTCATTCAAAATCTGAAAATTTCAAATTCTAAAAAAATGTAATTTTCGTTTTGCCCTTCTCAAAAATTTTTATTCAAATTTTTTCTCAAATTCTCTAGTAGACAATCGGATCTATCCAACTTACTGGTGGCAGAGTCACTGGGGTTTCGAAGATCTGAAAAAAAAACTTTCTTTATCACAAAAGTTCAATATTTCGGAAATTCGGGAATTTCTGAAATTTCAGGAAAATTTAGGTGAAATTCAAAAATCCTGAAACTTCAAAAATAACAGCTTCCAAAAGTTTTCAAAATGCCGAAATTTCAGAATTCAAAACGTTGCAAGAACTACGAATGTTTTGGAATTCCAAATCCAGGAAATTGAGAACGTCGAAAATTTTCGAGATTCCAGAAATTTTTTTGCAAAATTTTCAAAAGATTCCAAATTCAAAAAAGTCGGAAAAAAACTCACTGGTGGCAAATCGACTGGAGTTTGCTCGTAGATTGGTGGCTGGAAAAATTGAAAAAGTATAATTTTTCAAAAATTAAACTGTTTACCAAGTCGATTGGAGTAACTGTGGTTGGTGCGGCAGAACTGGTGATTGGCTGAAAACATGCGAATTTTTTCAAAATTTCGCGTAAGATATGATGCATCGGTGCGTGCACTGCGAGATAATGAAGTAGGTTGCAAAATGAATGATTCTATTTCTAACGGCCAGTTGGTCAATCAAAAAAAAAACCTTTAAAAAAGCGACTTCATAAAAAATTAGAAATTCGAGGACATTATGGTAGAGCACATTTGGGAGTCACTGATCAAATTTTTGACCTACCAAGTTTGTCGTAGCTGTTACGGCCGGTGCTGGTGGTGTGAATCCAGTTGATGATACTGGCGGTGCTGTGGATCTTGTTGACGTTATTGGTGCCTGGAATTACAGTCATTTCTAGAAATTACGTTAAAAAGTGTTTTTATTTTTTTGTTTTCATTTATTTCGGTCAACGTTCAAGCCAGTTATGCGCCTTTAAAGCTAGTTTGAGAGACGCAGACTACAAGCCCACTCTCGTCTCTCTCCCTCTCTGTATCTTGTCTCAAAGGAAGTCGATTTTCATAATTTTTAATGCTGGGAGTCTGCCTACTTACCGAAAAAACCGGCTTGCTCTACTTACCAAATTAGTTGTCGATGTTAAAGCGGATCCTGTAGTGGTTCCAGCTGGAACGGCAGATGTTGTTGTCGATGGATTCTCAAATATTGGTGCCTTAAACCATAAATTATTTTGCGTTTTCTTTTCCAAAATCCCTTACCAAAGTTGACGCCGTTGTTGATGGTCCCGATGTAGTTGGGTTTGTGATGGGTGGTAATCCGGTGGTGAGCATGGTTGACTAGAATTTGATTGATAGTTTCTAAGCAGGAATCTGAGAATCAACCAATGTAACATCCGACACAACTCCTGACGTTGAAGAGGACGACGATGACGTCACTTCGGCATTTGGAACTGTTGAGATCGAGGAAGGCAAAGATGAGGAGATAATGGTGGACTAAAAATTCAAGTTTTAAGGAATCAATATCCAAATATCTCTCACCAATGTCATAGTTGTTGCAGAAGAAGAAAGTACGGAAACCACTGGCGTTGCCTAGAAAGTTCAAAGTTGGTAAAAGCAAATTTTTAGAAGCCGTTTTTCAGATCGACTATAATTATAAAAAGCGCTTGAAATTCTCTTCAAATCGGTGTAACTTCCCTTCAATTTGATCAATGCTGAAGCCATGTGCCTTTAAAGATAATTAGAGTTTAGATGCAAGCCACGAGAGCACTCTCGTTTCTCTGCGTTTCTTTTCAAAAACTTTAAATCACTGTTTCTCGGATCAGAATCAATCGATTTCCATAATTTTTAGAGCACTGTGAGACTGTGAGTTCGGGAAATTTAAAAAAGTATACCGTTGTTCCTTCTGTTACCGATTCCTGGGTCGTAGAAGTTTCTTGAACTTCACCTACGGTAGTTGTAGTCTCTTGAACCACTTCTGAACCAGTTGTGATGGTGGTTTCTACCACAATCTCATCAGAAACTGTCGTCGTCGAGGATTCCAGAACTTTCTTGGTGGTCGTACTGACTTCTGGAGCTTCTGGAGCGGAAGACGTAGTCGTTAGATCTACAGGAGCTTCTGGAGCAACCGATGTCGTTGAGGAGACTTCTGGAAATTCTCTAGCCGATGATGTAGTTGTTAGGTCTTCCGAAGCTTCTGGAGCCACTGATGTCGTTATGGAGACTTCTGGAACTTCTAGAGCCGAGGATGTAGTCGTTAGGTCTACTGGGTCTTCTGGAGCAAATGATGTCGTAGTGGAGACTTCTGGAACTCCTGGAACCACAGATGTAGCCGTTAGGTCTTCTGGGACTTCTGGAGCCACTGATGTGGTCGTTTGGTCTTCTGAAGCTTCCGAAACGACTGAAGTCGTTGTGGAGACTTCTGGGGCTAGTGATGAAATCGCCGGATTTTCTGGAGCCAGAGATGTGGTCGTCAGATCTTCTAAGGCTTCTGGAGCAATACTAGAAACTTCTGGAGCTGTTTCTGATGGGGCTATTGTAGTTGTGGATTTTGATTCTAATTCTGATGTCACGGTGGTCGTGGTTTCAGAATCTTCAGCTGGCTGGAAAGAAGTATTTGTAGAATCATGGTTTCTGAGTTTCCGAAATCTCAAAGTTTGGAAATTCGAGAACTTGAAAATTAGGAAATTCCGAGGTTCTGATAATCTGAGGATTCGAAATTTAAAGATTAAGAAATTGAGAATCTTGGAAATTCTGTAAATATCCGAAAGGGACTTGCAAAAATCTGACATTCCAAAAATTATAAACTCAGAGAATCGAAAATTTTTTAGTTTCAGAAATTTCCGAAATTCCTATTTTCCGGGTTTCCGGAATTCCGAATGTCTAATGTTTGAAGTTTCGAAATTCCGCCTACCGTAGTAGTAATTACTGTAGTTTGAACGTCTTCTGATTCCATGGAAGTTGTGGGCTCTTCTGATTCCTGAAAATTTCCACTTTTTGTACAATGCCAAAAAATAATTTGCAAATAAAATATTTTATTAATTGGACCAATAAAGAAAAAATAAGTTAATTATCTCAAAAATTGATTTTTCTTTAATTGGATCCAATTAATAATGTCTATCAGCTCTCACTCGAATCTCTCTTTTTGGTCGTCGTGCTGCCTTTGAACTCTTTTTCGCTGCTGCTGCCTTTGAACCTTTTTTTGCTGTCACCTCCTGAAAATTCCAATTTTGGCGGTTTGGCGGGAAATTTAAAAATTTGAATTTTCGAAGAAAGATCACAGGGTCTAGGTATTCTTCATTGTTTCTTGTAAATGCATATACGTCACCGTAACCGTGACTTACCGAATCGGAATCTTTTTCGCAGTGCTGAAAATTTTTAACTTTCAGAAATAATGAAAGTTTTATAAAAACTCACTCTATTCTTGCTGGTGGTGCTGGAACCTGCTGATTTTGTCTGAAAAAATATTTTTTATCTGAAAATCTGAAACATTTTGGATTACGGTAGTTTCGACGGCTCCAGTGATCGATCCTGTGTTCTGGAACATTCTTTTTTTAAATATTTCAGTTTCCCGCTTAGCCGAGGTTTCTCACTTACCGTAACTTCTCCAGCATTGTCGGTTACTGGCGATGGGTCATTGTTCTGAAAAAATTATGAGTTTCGAAATTCAAAAAGTTTTAAAGATTACTGTAGCTGGCGTAGTTGCACCCGATGATGGTGCGGCGGTGGTGTTGTTTTTCTGAAAACAAAACATTGTCGAAAGAGACGCAGAGAATTTAGACAATCTGACTGTCTGCGTCTCTCGCTAGCTGCTCAGAGAGACGAAATTTTGATATCTCTAAAACTAAGCGAGTTTAAAGTCAGCGCGCCGAGAGAGCGAGAGACGCAGAGAATGCTGACACTTTAACTGTCTGCGTCTCTTACACCATGACAATGTTTGTTCGTTGTGGAGAATCCATCCGTATCTGATGGCGTGGACGATTCAACCCCACCAGTAACTTCTCCAGGTTTCTAAAATTTCAAATTTTCCGCCAATTTTTTCAATTTTTCGTAAATTAACCTACCGTAACTTCTCCCGCATCGTTCGTTTCGGTGTGATCTACGTTCTGAAATCTCGGTTTTTTCGGAAAATTTCAAAATTGTGGATTACTGTAGGTGGCGTGGCTCCGGATACTGTAGTTTCTGGGGATGATGACGTTTCACTTGGCGTGGAAGATTCTGGAGATTCAGAAGATCCAGTGGGTTCAGAAGGCGTTGTAGAAGAATCGGAAGGTCCAGATGACGTTTCAGAGGATTCAGAAGTTGTTGAAGATTCGGAAGACACTTCAGAAGCAATAGTAGAGGATCCGGTAGATTCAGAAGGCGTTGTCGAAGATTCTGGAGATTCAGAAGATGCTCCAGATGACTCTTTAGTTGCGACAGAGGATTCTGAGGAATCAGAAGGAGCAGGAGACGTTTCAGAGGATTCAGAAGGCCCAGAAGACGTCGTGGACGGCGTTCCGTAAAATGTTTCTGCAGTCGAATCAGAAGATTCTGGCGATTCAGAGGTTCCAGATGATTCTGAAGACGTTGTGGAGGACTCTGGAGATTCAGAAGATCCAGAAGACACTCCGGGTGTAGTTGCGACAGACGATTCTGAGAAGTCAGATGAAGCAGATGGCGTTTCAGGGGATTCAGAAGGCCCAGAAGACGTCGTGGAAGGCGTTCCGTAAAATGTTTCTGCAGTCGATCCAGAAGATTCTGGAGATGCAGAAGTTCCAGTAGATTCAAAAGATGTCGTTGAAGATTCTGGAGATTCAGAAGTTCCAGAAGATAGTCCAGAAGATCCTGTACTAGATTCATGTGCTTCAGAAGACGTGGAAGATATAGAAGACCCAGAAGAAGTCGTGGAAGGCGTTCCAAAAAATGTTTCGGAAGTTGAATCAGTAGAGGTGGCAGATGCATCAGAGGACGTCTGAAAAAAAATTGATTTTTAATTTTTTTTTGAAAATTAAGGATTACTGTAGTTGTAACTGATTCTGAGCCGGAGGTCGTAGAAAATTCTGATCTTGGGCTCTGAAAAATGAATTTCCAATTTTCTGACTTTTCTGAATCTTACAGATTCTGGACCGACGGAAGTAACGAGAGGTGAACTTTGGACAGGAGTGGTAGGAGCTGAGACCTAAAATTTCAAAAAAAAATTTAGTACGAAAATTCGCTCCATTGACAAGCGCGTTTTTATCAAAACTCACTGTTGTTGCCTTCATTTCCTCCGTGATCAAATGTTTGATGAGTGCCAAAAGTTCTGCCAAGACACTGGCGAGCAAATCATTTGTCTGAAATCCTAGTTTTTATGAAATTTCCAGTAAAATTTTTCTCAAAATATCTGGGTTTTTTATCTTAAAAAAATCTGGAAAAACGCACCGATTGAGTAGCTACAGGACTGGCAAAAGCCACGAATAGGACAAATATCAGAGTCAACTTCATTTTTTTCGAAGGTTCGGAAAGAGTCAACTGATTTATTTCCTCGATTGTCCCATCTTTTATTCGATTAGATTTTCTTGAATTTTATATTTGGTTGGTCTATAAAAAATGGGAAAATCTTGTGTTGGAACTGGCAAAAATCTAGGAAGGGGAAAGGAAGGAAGTAAAATGTGTGGTTATCAAAAATTATGGGATTCTTTATGAGAAATTTTTGGGTTTTTCGAGAGGCTTGGATAATTGAAGGGGGTTTGATTTTGGATAAGACATCCTTTCTGCGTCTCCACGATTCTTATAATGTCTTACAAGCCTCCAACAATTGTTGTCTTTTTTAAATCCATTAGAGCAGATTTGCTGATTCTGCGTTATGGTGAATGAGGAAAGTTATCAATACTGATGCTACCATTTATTTCATGGAAATAAGTATAAATTGATCATCAATCAAAAATTATTCTGAATCGTTTCATGGTTTGACTTTTCGTTTGCAAATGAAGATTGATTTATTTTGATGCTATTAGGTTAAAGTGTGGCTCACTGGTTTTAAAGGTTTTATAGTGGTTTATTGAGTAAATTCTAAAAAATTTCTGAGTTCCTTCCAATTGTTTGCGTTTTCAAAGTTTTTTGTCACCTTTACAGCTTGTTTGTTGTTTTTGTGATGGAAAAATATAATTTCTACTTTAAAATTTGAATTTTTAAAAATTCCGAAAATTTCTATATCGGAATATTTTGAAATTCCGAAATTCCGAATTTTTGAAAATCCGAAATTTCCGATATTCTGAAAATCCCAAATTTTTAAAATCGAAAAATTTAGAGATTCCTAAACTTTATATTCGGAATTTTCGACATTCCGAAAACATTCCAAACATCCCTGCCGCCGCTTTTGAATTTGTTCATGAGCCGGATATCCATTTTAACTGATTAAAAATAATGGATGTGGAAAAATATTTATGAGCCATCATGTATAATCTTTTCTGTACTTCTTTTATCTTTTTTATTCTTTTCTCTTTTCTTTTCTGTTCACTTCTTGCTCCTCATTTATTTTTCTGCCCAATATACCCTATTTTCAGATAAATCGAACTCTTCTCATGCTCTCTTCGATCGCCATCAGACTTGTTCAAATCGGGAATCCCGTTTCCCCGGTTTTCCCGGAAAATTTCGGGAATTTTTCCCGGCAAGAATTTTCCTGAATTTTTTTCTCCGGAGTTGTTCCCGACGGGAAATTCTCCATTTATTATTTTTCTAGATTCCTCAACTTTTTTTTCCATTTTTTGCTATTTTAATAGTTTTTCAAGGAAATGTATCAAACACTTTTGAGTACAGAAATCGACAAGTCACCACAAAAATTAAGAAAAACAAGAAAAAATTCATTGAAAAACCAACTTCCCGATTTTCCCGGAAATTAATTCTCAAATAATAATGTCGGGAAAAAATTCCGGATCAAATTTCTCGAAAAGATAATTTTTAAAAATTTCCAGCTGATTTTGAAAAAATCTTATAAATCCAAGTTTTCAAGAATGGAACCCTTCCAATTATCCAAGCCTATAAAAACCCAAAATCTAATAAATTTATCTTCAAAAGATTCCATAATTTTTGATCACCACCATTTATTTCCCTTCCTTTTTTCTCTCCAATTTCCCCATTTTTTTGGACCTAGAAAATATATAATTCAGGAAAATCTGATCGAATAAAAATTGAAACAAAAAGAGTAAGGAAATCAGTTGACTCTTTCCTGAATCTTCGAAAAAAAAATAAATATTTTAAAATCTTCAAATTTTATTTTAACTCAGGCAACTAATTCTATGGATTTCATTTGAACGAGGGATTGATTATCAATGAACAATTATTATGAATCATTTCCACATCTAACATTGTTTGACGGGTCGTTTGCAAATAAAAATAGACAGCTCGTCACAACTCCTGCCATACCAATCCAGATCATTTCCATCATCGTCAACTTCCAGCTTCATACAGCTACCATTTTGGTAATGCATTGGTGGAGAATAATTGGAAGGTGATCCGTCTACCCAAGTATAATCCGTATGATTCATATGTCCACCTATCCAATATTTCCCTTGTTTCTGGAACATTTGAGCAACAAAACGGGCTTCCAGACGATCGTGGGTAGATACTAAGTGAGAATTGCGTTGCTTGCAGTAACTTTCGGCGTCGTCGAAGCTTTTTTGTTGATCGTAGATCTTGTAGCAATAGTTGTTGAAACTAACGCCACAGTTTGTACCGCAATCTGAAAATATCAAATCAGGGGCCTAGCATCCGAAGGATACATCAGAAAAGGGTGCGTCGAGCTTTTGAAAATTGTTTAATATTTCTTAAATCTTGTTACCTTTTGTAGTTGGTCGTAGCTCACAGACAAATGGCAATTGGACACTATAATCCTCGTGGTACCATTTTCCGTCTCCAGAATCAAAAGCGAAAAAGCCATCCTTTGGTCCTGAAACAAAATTTCGGCTCTATCAGCAAAGCGAATAATCCAAAAAGTAGTCCTTACCATCCTTAAAATTGGTATATTTTATATTTTGGTCTCCATCATCCCAAGTACATCCTTTCAGCGCATCTTCAAAACATTGAAGACCAAACCAGACAATTTTAAGTCCGGCGTTGGAAACGAGTTTAAGAAGCGCCTCGTTCTCCTGGAAAATTTGAAACTTCGATTTCCCATCAAAATTAAGAACTAACTGTACTCGTCTTCGTGTTCGCCATAACAGATCCATCCGTAAACTTGCACATCCTCTCTGCGTCTCCTTGATTCTTATACTGTCTCACGATTCCCCAACATTTGTCATTGACCATCGTAAATCCATTAGAGCAGATTTTCTGGCTATGGGATACGGAGATTAGAGAGAGCAGAATGAGAAGCTTTAGATTCATCTGAAAAATTTGAAAAAAATGAGAGAAAGCGATCACAAGAGGGCATTAAAAAGGAAAAATTCCAGTGATAAGAAGAAAAAGTTAAGAAGGGGAACGGGAGTAATTCGGGTGATTTTTTTGTCAGAAAAATAAAAGAAAATGAAGGCAAAAATTCGAGCACGATCATTTCGTTTATTATAAAAGATATCAGAAATCTGTCAACTAATGAATTGTTCATCATAATATCTTCCTTATATATAAAACGCTAGAGGCGTCTGTCCGTCCCGATGTCACTCTGTCGACTTTATATAGCGAAAATAAATATAGATTTACGTGACCATTTAAGAAAAATTAAGAGTGATGTGAAGAGCCAGTAAAAAAACTAGATTAAATCGCGCCGAAGGCGCACCAGCTTGCTATTAATTTGCAAGACTTTAATGTCTTCAAAAGGAGCCGAGATAATTGAGCCCAACCAATTGATTGTCTTCATAGGCACGTTGTTGTTAACCTAACTTTAACATCATGTATCTGGGGACCAGTTATAGCAGGTGTCCTGAAATTTGGTGTGGATAATAAGGAAAAAATGTTTATTATGTTTTCCAATTTTCAGGTTTCTGGTTTCAACGAGAACAAAGCTACGCTTTCGGAAAAGCGACGGTCGTAACTCTGACGGTTGAGCTCAATTATCTCAATTTCTATGAAAGATAGGAAAAACTGCTAACATATAAAAAGTTGGTAAGATTATGGTAAGCATTTTATCATTTAACTAATTCACGATAATTGAGCCCAAACCGCAAAAGAGTATTCACGGCACTACAACACATTCATAATGCACTAAACCCGTGAAAAATCTGTACACTCCGGAAAAAGGTAACCGGACAGTGAAAGAAACGCCCTAAACATTGATAACAGATGAGAAGAAAAAAGTAAACAAAAAGACAATAAAACATCTGACCAAAAAAAAGAGAAGTGCAGTATAGTACATATAAAAGTCATTAAACAATTTGGGGGGGGGGGGGTGCCCGTGCAGCTCAATGGACCGAAAACTTGGCTCCGCGTCACTTCGAAACCGGTCATTTCGAAACCGTGGTAATACATGGACAAATTTCAGACTACAGAAAGAACTTTAGGGTTTTCAAATAAGCTTTTTCTGATAGAACACTTTCTGAAATTCGAAAGAATCCAAAATGTGATGTTCTCAAAAGAATAAAAATTCTTCAATTTTTCAATTTTCAAAATGTGTTCTATCAGAAAAAGCATATTTGAAAACCCTGAAGTTGTTTTTGAAGTCTGAAATTTATCCATTCGCCTGCATTACCACGGTTTTGAACCGGTTTCGAAGTGACGCGGAGCCGAAAAGTTAGGTCCGATCTTTTTCGGTGGGTAACTTTTTTTCAGAGAAGATATAGCTAATGGAATTATATCATTTTGTAGCACTTGCCAAGTTTTATCTTAACCCGTTTTAAATGCACAATAAGCTTTTTTTGTTAACAGTAGAGTGCAAATGTTTTTTGTTGATTTTTTCTGAAACTTCGAAATTGTCGGAAGTTCGGCTCCTTTCTAGTTTAGAGGTACTGAAAAAGAATACATAGAGGTACCAAAAAACGCAGAGGCCCCAAGGTAAAATAGATGTCCAGTTTGAAAAACAAACAGATGTTGGAATAATGTAGCAAAATTCGAACTTTTGGAGAAATCCGAGCTGTGGACCCATATTTATTTTGGAACCTTTTTTCGGACCTCTAATTTTTATTCGGGACATCTAAACCAGAAAAGAGCCAAAACTTCTAGTTGTGTTAGCATTAAAAACATATAAATTTAATGGAAATAGACCTAAAACTAATTACACTAGCCTACGGCTAGAGCTGCAGAGAAACGAGACACACTGCGTCTCGAAATGGGCGGAGCCCTGTGAGGGCTCATTTTGAAGCTTGTGACCTTAAATGGATGAATAAATGTTCAAGAATACTTTATTATATAATATCTCCAAAAAAAATCAACTATCACACGGAACGACCGGCCGTTTACACATGAACATTTTCTCATCCTGACAATCGCTGCCAACATACGTCGATCCAATTCCATTGTCGAGAATATTAAATTGCAAACACCTTCCATCATTGGACACTACTCCCTGATCATATTCGTGTTTCGATCCATCAATCCAATTAATGCTCAGGTCACTATTCATCTTTCCCCCAATCCAATACGATCCAGGTTGTTTGAATTGAGATGCCACGAATCGAAACTCGTCATAAGCATTAATCGATACCAAATTGCTCTTGTAGAGTTCGCATACGCTCTGGGCACTGTCGAATGTCTTCATTTTCTTGTTCATCATTGTATAGCAAGTGTTGTTGTAGGTGACACCACATTCTAGAGCGCAGTCTGAAAACGTGTTTATCAGGATCTAGTTGCGTTCATTTTGAAAGTCTAAACCTGAGAGTTACAAAAATATGAGAAAATCAGTGTATTTGCCGCGCCTCCGGCGATTCAAACAGCTGGCTGGTGCGTCTTTGGCGCGAATTAGCCTAGTTTTTTTTTAAAGGATCGTAAATCTGTACTCTTCTTTCATACTTCCCAAAAATCATATGTAAAGAAAATTGCAAATAGGCTCAAAACAAACAAAGTTGTTCCAATATTTCTGGAATACCTGCGCGCCACAGAAACGAGACACACTGCGTCTCTAACTTCAAGGCACATGTTGTTACCCTAACTTTAACTATCTATATGATGTTTTGGATCTCGGGGTCAATTATAGCTAGCGCTTTGAATTTCGATGTGAATAGTAAGGAACATGTGTGTACTACTCCTTCTAAATTAAAGATTGCTAGCTTCAATGAGAACAGTGGCTCCAGAAGACGGCAGCCAGCTTGCGACCTCAACCAATACTCCCGCTTTGAGATCAATTATCTCGTTATTACAAGATATATCAAAAAACTGTCAACTGATAAAATTTTCTCAGGTTTTCGATATCTCTTCAAAAAATCAAGATAATTGGGTTCAAGTATACTGGTGGCGTTCCATTTAATAACCCCTCTTTCATACGACGCTCCGTTATTCCGAGTTACGCTCTTTTTAGAACGTTACCTCTTTCATAGGAGGGTTGTTCACAGACAAATGGCAATGTTTGGTAACACGGATAACTGTTCCATTGCGCGCCTCGAAAGGCGTTGAACATTACACAATTCTGGGCTGGAGAAACTGAGGAACCTGAAAAATGAAATGTGTTGGAAAACTCTAAACAGGTTTTTCACCAGTGTCTAATCTGCTATAATTTTTAAGCATTGTCCTATCATCCCATCGAAGTTTCCATCTCATGCCCAAGTAGACACTATTATATTCAGAATTTGCTAGAAAATCGAGCATTTGCTTGTTATCCTGAATATTAAATTTTATAATTTGAACTCGCAGTTTTTGAGCTCAATTATCTCGGTTCCTTTCAGAGATATCAAAGATCTCTGAAGAACGAAAGTGTTGGTAATAATATGGCGAACATTTTATAAGCTGGCAAGTATATCTTTCAAGGGAACCGAGATAATTAAGCTCAACGTCCCGAGCTAACGTTCAAAACCTACAGTATCATCCTTCAGTTGCACCATAAACGATCCGTCCGTGAATCGGCACATATCGTTTGCATCGTTATAGGTTTTCGCTTGTTTCATAAGCATCCAGCACTTTCCATTTGGCATTAATTGAAATCCATTGGAGCAGATTAACTTACTCTGTGAGACACAAATCCACGTGGATAGAAGGACAATAAGCAGGAGACATTTCATCTGCAAAAAAGTCTGATATTTTGGAAGTTAATGGAGATTCTAAATTTCGACCGGGAAACTTTGAATATTCGAAATTTCTAAAAAAAGAAACAGCAAAAAAAAACTCAAGAACGCTGAAAAATGGACCCACCTGCTCTCCTTTTATACACCAATCTTACTGTAGAAAAAACCAAGAATTTTATGACGGAAATTCCATTTTCCACCTGTCAATCACATCCTCAAAAAGTCATTGAAAATTGAAAGATTAGGTGATAAGAATATTTAAAAAATGATGCTTAATATTGTAGAAAAAAATCTTAATGGGACGGAACTTACTGATTAGGGAACATAGGAATTGGAGAGGAAGGACTTAATTTTGGTTTCCCAAAAAAGGAACAAAAAAATCAGGTGACTCTCAATGGTTTTTTTAAACCAAAAAAAAATCCTTCCTCTCGTTCTCCAATTCCTATGTTCCCTTATCAGGCAGTTCGTCCCATTTGGATTTTTTCTACAGTATTAAGCATCATTTTTTAAATAATCTTATCAATTTCCAATTTTCAATGACTTTTCGAAGATGTGATTGACAGGTGGAAAATGGAATTTCGATCATAAGGCTTTCTTTTTTTTCTACAGTAAGATGAACGTATAAAAAGAGAGGAGGTGGGTCTATTTTTCAGTTTCCTAGAATGTCCTAGTTTTTTCAGAACTTTCGAAATTCCGAAATTTCCCAATTTTCCAGATGAAAAATCTCATGCTTCTTGTCCTTCTATCCACATGGATTTGTGTCTCGCAGAGTGAGCTAATTTGCTCCAATGGATTCAAATTAATGCCAAATGGAAAGTGCTGGGGACTTGTAGGGCAACAGAAAAACTATGACGATGCAAATGATATGTGTCGAAAAACGGATGGATCGGTCATGGTGCAATTGAAGGATGAAACTGTGGGTTTTTTTTTTGAAAACGTACCGGCTGCGTAACTCACTGGGCGGTGGTCAATTTGAGCTCAATTATAACAGTTTTCGTAAGAGACATCAATTTTTGTTATATTTTTAATTGAAAATTTTTTGATATCATATATTCAGGATAACGTGCAAATGGGCAGTTTTCTATCTCCCACTAGATATTGGAATGTCTATTTGGGAATGAGATGGGAACTTCAATGGGATGATATGACGCTGCTTAAAAATTATAGCAGATATACCCCTGGTATGAATGTTTCTAGAATTTCTCAGAACATGTCGTTTTTCAGGACACGCAGACCCTAGTCAGAGTTGTGTTCAGTTTAGCGTCCAGGGAGCAAAATGGTCCAGTGTGCCGTGTTCCACAAAATTGCCATTTGTCTGTGAACAACCACCCTTTGAACGAGGTATCTTGCTAAAGGCGCATAGTGTCGATACTAACTTTAAGACTAATTATCTCGAGTTTTGCAAGAGATGAAAAATCTGTAAAATGTTGAAATGTGCGAGATATTATGACAAACGTTTTATCAGTGGACAGCTTTTCGATATCTCTTATAATAAACGAGATAATTGATCTCAAATCGGGAGTATAGATTCATGTCGAAAGCCGGCTGCCGACTTCTGCGCCGCGTAGCTATATTTTCGTTGAAGCTAGCAATCTGAAATTTGAAAGTCGAAGTACACACGTTTTTCTTATTATACACACAAAAATCCAAGACGCTAGCTATATTTGGTCCCCAGATACAGAATGTTAAAGTTAAGGTAACACATGCCTTGAAGAGAGACCCAGTGTGTCTCGTTTCTCTGGAGCTCTATCCTTTTAGAAACATTATCGTACTTCTGTTACTTACGAGATCCAAAATGCACACGACTGAATTCGGTTGAAAATTATAAATTTCCAGACTGCGGTCAAAACTGTGGTATCATCTACAACAACAGTTGCTATAGAGTTTTCGATCAAAAAAAGACATTTGACAGTGCCCAGAGCGTATGTGAACTCTACAAGAGCAATTTAGTATCCATTAATTACTATGACGAGTTTCGATTGGTGGCAACGAAATACGGAAAAGCTGGAGCGTATTGGATTGGAGGAAAAATGCACAGTGACTTAACCATTGATTGGAATGATGGATCGAAAGGCGAGTATGATGAGGGAATATCGTTCTGGGATGGAAGGTGTCTGCTGTTTAATGTCCTTGACAATGGAATCGGATCGACGTATGTTGGAAGCGATTGTCAAAATGAGGCAGTGTTCATGTGTAAACGGCCGGTTGTTCTGTGTAAAAGTGCTGAGAAAACTGAACTTTAATTTTTCTTGACAGCGTTTGTGGAGATCTAATAAAGCATTTTTGCGCATTTCATTCATCCATTTCAGAGCACAAGCATCGAAATGAGCCCTAGGCTCCGCCCACTTCAAAGTAAAGAACTTGTTTTCAGCTTCCAATGATATAGATCGTGCGTCATAACTCCATCCCCGATTCCTTACAAGGGAACGTTTTTCAGATACCGGTTGAGAATTTGCTCAAAATTTGCATACTTATAGTATACGGCATGCTCTATACGAAAACTTTAGCCCGTTCTCACTCCCAGGCTGAAAAACTTTGTCTGAAAATTTTTGCCCGATTTCTCCACGCAGCCGATTTCGGCTTCCCCCCCCCCCTCCTCTACCAAATTCGCGTGAGAAGAAAATATCGGTTGTGTGGTGTTGTGGTAAGAGGGGGACTCACACAGGTCCTGGGCGATGATGCGAATAAAAGACCCGATCCATATGTGATCCTCTAGAAGTCCGTTTGACACATATCGCGAACAATGAGCTGCGATGAATCTCATATGTGTGCGATGCGGGAGAGGCTGAATCGAGTGTTCCGAATGCGCGCGTATCCTAGATGGATTCTAGGTGGGTGGGCGATGTGTGCGATATGGGTCTGATACGGTAGGCCGACTACAACGTTCCGAAATCCCTGATGCGCGCATTGTTTACCGTAAATCCACACCGACAACTTTGTCAATTTTTCGTCAATTCGAGCCTACATTTCTGGTTTTTCGATTATTATTTCGATGTTTTTTTTATGGCAGACTAAAAAGTTACGGCAGACTAAAAAAAGTTATGGCAGACTAAAAAATCGTTGAATTCTTGCAGAAGCATGTCTTTCACTCGTCAATTGCTATGTTTTTCGCCAAAATAGGTGATATTGAGATTTTTTGATTTCCCTTTGTAATTATTGTAAAAATCGTATTTTCAGGTGGAGTAAAAGGTAAGTTGGTAAGTATACAATAATTACAAAGTGTAAATTATAAAATTTTTCAATTTTTCATGCAATTTCAAAAAAAGTGAAAGTGAGACATTTTTTGAACAAATGAAAAAAAACAATTTTTAGCGAATTTTTTCCCATTTTCTTCTGTTTTTTATTGCATATCAAATTTAAATGGAAACTGCCATAAGTCTTTTTCAAAACCAAAACATTGAGTTTCAAAAAATCAGTAATATGTCGTTCAAAATATAAAAGAATATGGAATAATAAAGGAAAAGTACGAAATCGGAAGACCAGGCGAGGAGATGCTTTGCGGCGGCGGTGTGCCCCATATGCCCCGTATATGCCCCATACCGGTGCCCTTTCCCTGTACCCAATTCATCGGCGCGTCCTCCGTCGCCCATCCATTATGCGTATGCGCGCCCAGGACCTGTGCATTAGAAGTGACTATGCTGGTTCGAACCCCGCTGTGGTTAAACTTTTTTGCTTTTTTCGAAACTTTTTTGATTTCCAGTTCGACCCTCTAGACACTTTATGATGCTTTTTGATGAATTTCAATGGTTTTCAAAGTAAAAAAAAGATTTTATGAGAGCTTGATGAAAATTTTAAATAATAACCTTTTCGACCGACCGGTCCTTAGAAAAGAGCCGAAAAATCTCCCCGTTATTTGCCGAAAAACATAAAATGAACCTTTGCAGAAGCCGCGAAGCATCAATACAGCAAACATTGGCCGGGTGTTTCTGAAAAGCAAGGTTTTCCAAAAACCAGAAATGCCCTAATTTGGCTCAAATCAAGATTGAAGTAGTGGAAATTGTTATGTTTGAATTTTCCATCAAATTTCCAAGATTTTTGAGCCCAATATAGTGTAATTTTGGACTAGTTTGATTTTCGACCGCGGTCGTGACGGTCGAAAATGAAAATTAGCCAAATATAGTCGATATGGGGCTCAAAATGTTGGAAGTTTGGAAAAACTTTAAAATCACGTTTATTTCTGTCTCAAAGCTCAAAACTGACTTTTTTCGAGTCAAAGTCCCAAAAAATTGAATTTAATTTTGTCTTCCTATTTTTCTTATCAATTTTAAAAATTAATTTCCAAGCACATTTTTGAGCTCCTTATAAAATTTGCGACATTTTGAGCCCCAACACGACCCATTTTGGTCAACTTTGATTTTCGACCGCGACGCTACAGCCGCGCGCGGTCGGCCCTTCGAAAATTGAAAATCAACCGAAAATAGTCGAGTTTGGGCTGAAAATGTCAGAAATTTTATGAGAAATCTGAAAATGCACTTGAAGTTGAGCTAGAAGTTGTGGCTAATTAGATTTTTCAAATTGAGAGTGTGCTTTATCGAGTTAACATCAAAACAATCAATTTTCGACATCTTTTCATAACAGTTTGATATGTGTTCAACACAAGATTGAGAGGAAAATAGACACAACGTCAATTAGAGAGAGAGAGAGAAAGTATTGAAAACGATTTTTTTTCAATATTCTCCAAGGCCGGAGTTTGGAGAAGCAGGTGTCACAGCACAGCTGGGGCGTGTGGTGGCAGAGCACCCAACACAGAAGAAATCTCAAAAAATCAAAAAATCGACGGTTCTAACTAGGGAAGGCCCCAACTCGGGTGTGGCGATACGGGTGGTGACCTATATCATCTGAAAGCTTACATTTTCCTGATTCCGAATATGTTTTCAAAAGTGCGTATGACGTGGATTTTAAATCCCATTTCCCCTCTTCACGTATATATGTTTTAGAGTGTTGAAAAAATATGGAAGCGTGGTTGAGTGGTTAGTGAGCAGGAATATGAAGCGGGTACTCTCTGGTTCAACTCCCTCGTGCTGCTAAACTTTTTATGAATTTTTTCTTCTTATTTTCCAATTACAGTATCTGATTTCTAGAAGATTTTTAACAGTTAAATACACTTGAAATTTGTTCAAAGCCTACTTTGAAATCTCATAGTTATTATTTTGGAAACTTTTTTGTCAATTGTTTCGGCAATTTCCAAAGAATTTCGATCTATTGAAGATTCTAGACAAACCACTTATTTGTGATTTCTCTCAAACTTTGGAAATTAGTACTTCTGAGAATGCTGATTACAGTACCAAAGTTATATTCTCTACATTGCCCATTTGAAGAAAGTTATGAGCTCTGAAAGTGATTTCAGTACATATTCATCGTTTTTAAAGTGGGTTTTTGAAGGAGATAATGAATTCATTACAGGTTTCTTTGACTTCAAATTGCATTTTGAATGATTCTCTACAATCTGAAGAAGTTTCCAAATTTTTTTTCGAAAAAAAATTTTTTGAAAAAATTTCCATGGGATACCCCCTTGGCTGTTTTACAAATTTTCAAAAAAAATTTATAATGTTCTAAAATCAGTTCTAAACGCAGACAAACAATAAAATACGGTTTTTCACAAGATTTAATGAACTATATCCCTTTTTAAATCTTCTAGAAGTCAGAAACCGTCATCGGAATCTTTTCACGCTCCCCTTTTCCACGCTCCCCTTTTCATCTCCTCCTCAGCTATTGAGTCTTCTGACAATATTCGTGATCTAGGACTTATTACCGACTCCAAACTTAAGTTCACCCAACACATAAACAAATCGGTTGCTGTTTCACTTCTCCGATCCAAACAACTTTTGAAATCCTTCAAATCCTCCAACCCCTCATTCTACCTTCACTTATTCAGAACCTACGTACTCCCCTCTCTTGAGTACTGTTCAGTAATCTATTCTCCTCCCCCCAATTCCAAACTCTCTCAAAAACTCGAATCCACACTCCGTTTCTTCACCCGTAAAGTCTTCCAGAAATGCAATATCTCATACTCTTCTTATCAAGATCGTCTCTCCCAACTTGACCTCTTCTCTATCAGACATCGTAGACTTAAATCTAAACTTATGCTTCTTTACAAAATGATTAGTGACGCCTCTTATATGCCAGAATTATCCTCTTTCTTAAGAATTTCCGACTGTCCTAGGAGACCTATGGCCCTTATTCTCTCAGATAAATGTTCCGATGACTTCTTTTTCACCACCGCCCCTATTTGGAATGCAATTGTAAGGAATACTCCCCAATTTTTAACTCCCGGTCAATTTTCTACCTTAATCCAATCTTCCATCACTCGGTTTTAGTTTTCTGCTCACCTTTTCCCTTTTTTTTATATCTTTCCAACCTTACATGTATACCATTTTCTTCCCCATTCTCTAGGTTCATCTCGTTAGGGATTTTATCTAGAACTCCCGTTATAACTTTTGTGCCATATTTTCTTCTGATCAATAAATTATCAATCGGAAAATAAGAAGAAAAAATTCATAAAAAGTTTAGCAGCACGAGGGAGTTGAACCAGAGAGTACCCGCTTCATATTCCTGCTCACTAACTACTCGACCACGCTTCCACATTTTTTCAACACTCTAAAACATATATACGTGAAGAGGGGAAATGGGATTAAAAATCCACGTCATTTTCGGAAACTTTCGACCCAATTTTCTCGAAAACTGCCGCGACAAAGCACTTGTTGAAAACAGATTTGGAATCAAAAAAATGTCAGCTTTCAGATTATATAGGTGATCATCCGTATCGCCACACCCGAGTTGGGGTCTTCCCTTGTAAGTGTGAAAAACAGCTTTAGCTTTCGCTCAAATTTGGGAATTTATGGTTTTGGAGCCGAAAATCGAAAAACTCAAAATCCAAAAAAATGTTCTGAAATAATGCTCAAACGTCTTGAAACTATTGTTTTTGAGTTTTTCATAACATTTCCGTCTTTTTGAGCCCCAAGTTGCCCACGTTTGACCAAGATGGACTTTGGACCGCCGAATTTGGCCGAAATTCAAAATCGACCAAATATAGGCAATATGGGGCCCAAAATGTCAGAAATTCAATGCAGACTTTGAAAAGAATAATTTCCCATACTAATAAAATGTTGTAGCTTTTCTTATTCGCAATACAATCCCAAAAGAAATACAATCAAAACAAACAAAGTTTGGCCAAGCCTCCCACAAGTCTTAGCTAATACGTAGAATAACGTGCTCGGAATCCGACCAAAAGACGAAAGTCAATAGAACAGCGCATATTGTCTGCGTCTCTTTTCCAATACTCTCTCACCGCATAGCCTCAGAGAGTATTGGAAAAAGAGACACAGACATACCAAATGCGCCGTCCTCTCAATCCCTGTCCTCCTCTTCTCATTCAACCATCTCACCACCATCTCGGATGGTTCTCCCCCCCCCCCCCCCTCCCCTATAGATAGAATATATTGATTTTTGGGAATTTTTCTTCTATTTTTGATTTAAAATTCCCGAAATTTCGATTAGGCTACGACCGCCTTCTGCATGGTGGTGTAGCCGATATTCTATTTTTATTTTTTCTGAAATTCTCTATATTTATTTTATTGGGTTCTAAAAACCCCGAATGGACTCTGGACCAGCGAAAAAAAGTGAGTTTTCATAATTTTATTAAATGAAAATGTGTTATTTTAAACCTGAAATTGTTATATTCGTTGATCGACGTTTTGAACCCCATAACGCCTTGTTTTGGTCGATTTTGAATTTCAACCGCGGTCGGATTGGTCGAAAATCTAAATTGCCCAGAAAAAATTTCTTTCAAATTTTGTCAAAATGGATGAGACTATGATTTTCAGTTTTCTCATGAAACTTCCAACATTTTGAACTCCTTATTGCCATTGGGACCAGGATTCTCGGAAGATGAGGAAAAGCAGGAATTCGAATGTGAAATCTACCCCATTTCGATGAACTACGATAAGTCTCACCCCTTCAATAAAATGTTATCCGGCAAATGCAAAAGTAATTTTTAATTCCTTTTTTTTCAAAATATTTCCTAATTACCAAATTTATAGGTTCCAGTCGAATGGATTCGAAAATTCGGACTTCTCGATCAACGGCCGTAATCGGAGCTGTATTGAAAGAGATGAGGACCGCTTCCTGCCCCGGGATGAACGCCACGTCAAAGCCGATGCTCACCTTTGGGATTGGCAATGTGGATATTGTGACATATGCGGGAGAGCAATGGCTACCGTAATCAAAGGACGCTGCGCGGATTTCAATGGAAATATCTTGACACGATTTGCGATGGATTTTTTCTACTGTTTTGGAGGAGATTCAACGATTTTGCTGATTTTGGAATGGATTTTCGGGAATTTGGTTCGATTTGGATGGTTTGGAAGATTTTCATGGAATTTGGTTCAAGTTCTGCTGATTGGTGGCTGAGATCAAATGCAACTTCGCTGCTTTACCAATCGGGATTGGTTCCAGTTGGTTTTCTTCTTCAAGATGTCGATGTTTTCGAGTTTTGGCTGACGTCAGTTTCAACTTCAAGAGTCTTCATGTTGGTTCCATGGTTTCGAATATGTGCACTCACGGATTGATTTGGCTGATATTGCATTATATAATTTGTTCATTACTCTATTTGTATTACTGTATTTATTGTTCTATTATATTATTTGATGATATTATCTATTGTAACCCCATTGTATTTTTCCCCTCACAAGAGGTTAGGGTTTTTATGGTAGTTTAAGTGTTCCCCCTTAGATTCAGTACTCTAGTCGCGAGGACGCTCCAGCTTTTTGAGGTAGAGGGGGGGATGTGACATATGCGGGAGAACACTTCCCGCAAGGGAGGCGTTCCGCGTGCCTGTTGCCTCTCACCTCTTGCCTAATGGTGCGCCTCTCGATAACTAGGAGGTGGATTCTAGGACCCGGACGGGCAGCCGTCTGCGGTTTCTCTCTTATTTAATTCTTACATTTTAACCTTCATTGAACCTTTTATTGTTAGTCCCTAAGTTTAGTCTTTTAACTTTATTCCCCTTAGTATGACTTTATTTAAATCTTAAGTTTAATCTTAATTTCACTTTAACTTTCTTGAACTTTATCTTTTAGTTTCTCCTTAATATATAGTTGTAAGATTAAGTACACCGTGTTCAATGAGTGTTGGGATCCAAATAAGTGGAGGGTAAGCGTTCCTTAAGACCAGGGAACACAGGCTTATCAAAATATCCCAATGGAAGAATCTTGGCAAATCGTGAAAGTCAGTTTTTGGAGGGTTTTGTGTGAAGTATTTTCAAATTCTTTTGAAATTCGAAAATACAAAAGTCTTGAAACTAATTTGAATTAAGAACTTCAGAAATTCTAAGTTTCAAAAATTCGAAATTTCCGATATTCGGGATTTCGGAATTGCTGAATTTAACAATTTGAGAACTTCAAAAATTAAGAAATTTTGAAATTCAAAATTCCAGGAAATTCGGAAACCACAAACTGTTATCTTTTTCAGAATGTTGACCGCATCAGAGACCAAACCCGATGACGAACAATTATCGTCAAGGTGTACATCAAACTGGTCGACGACTACATCGAGCGGGCCCAAATGGTTAAAGACCCGATGGTGGCTTTCTTCAAAGTAGTGCGCGTTCGCGGCTTCTACAACAAAACGAACAGGCGGATCCAAGACGTTTTGAACTTCGATTGAGATTTTCTCTCTTTTTTGTCATCTTTTTGTGTTCCCACTTTTTATGGATGTTTTTTTCCGATATTTGTTAAATAAATTTTCAAAAATTTCAAGTATTCTAAGAAGATGAAATAGCAAGAAGTTTCTGGAACAGTAAGGGGAAGCAAGACTGCGGGAGCATAGGATGCTTAGTCATCTCTAGAGAACTTGTTTTTTTAAGATTTATAAAATATCATAGCTTTTTCTATGATAATTAATCCTGATATATCATGAAACTATCGAAAAATCGGCTCTTTTCTAGTTTAGAGGTCCGAAAAAAGATTAGAGGTCCCAAGAAAAAATAGAGGTCCGAAATTTGACAAACGCACAGATATTGGAATAGTGTAAAAGAATTTGAACTATGTAAGAAATTAAAATTCTGTGGTCTTATTTTAAAAAAAAGTGTTGATGATATATTTCATACTTCTTATAGGCTTAGAGATGCATATTTTTTGAAAATCATCTAAGCCAGAGAGAAAGCTTATTCACGGAGGCATTACTGTTTGCCGACATTTTGCTTATATGTAAGTTGGGGTCCATAAGAAAGACAAAAAAGAAATGGAGCCAAAACTATTAGGAGAAGTCGCATTTCCGCTCTTATCATCCTAGAGAGCCTCAAAACTCAAAACTCCGAATTCCGGCACATTATTCCAATACCTGTGCGTTTTTCAAATATCAGACCCCCATTTTTTCTTGGGACCTCTAAACTTATTTGGGACCTCTAATTTTTTTTTGAGACCTCTAAATTTTTTGGGGCCCTCTCATCATCCTATCGTTAAAAAACGAAAAATTCAGCTTCTGAAAATTGCTCAATTTTGATCTTTTCGAGGTGGGGTGCTGTTAAATCGATCACATACAAGATTTGAACCTATTTCTATAGATTTCAGTTAATTTCAAGCAATTTTTAAGAAGTTAGGGATTGTCAAAGTACCAACAACAATCCCATTTTGGATATTTTTGAGCCCAAAGACGAAATTGGGCTGTCAAATTTTGTCTGAATGCTATTTTTATCGTTTCTGAATAATAGGACCATTTTTGGAACTTTTCTAAAAATATTCAAAAAATCACTTTCAAAGTGTGGGGAGATTTTTTTCTTTCATGGAGATTTTTTTTCAAAAAGTTTCAAAAAAAAATTTTATTTTGAAAACGTTGGTAAAAAAAAAACGAGTTTTAAACCTCGAAAAATGTATGTTATTGGTCAAAATTTAGCACTGAAAACACTTTCAGAGGCTATATTTCGGCTGCTTTTGAGAACGGGCTGAAAATTTTCACGAATTATGGTTCAGCATGTTCGAAAGTACCTTCGTACAAATTTTGAGCAAATTCTCAACCGGTATCTGAAAAACGTTCCCTTGTTAGTTAGGCGTGAAATTTCTCGAAAATCTTCGTAAAAAATGAAAACAAAATCAATTTTCAAAAACAATTATTCTCATCTTTCCCAATATAATTCACTTATACATAAAAGTTGTCAATGTATCGATTGATTCTGTACAATGTCATCTACATTTTGGTTTTTGTTTGGTGGATCATGATCAATTGTCTGAAAGGAGCAAAACGAGGCGATGCAGGTTGGATTATTTATTGAAAAATTTCGAAAATTTCTGGATTATGGAATTTTTAAGGCGAAATCCGGACATCCAGAAGTTCTATTTCAGCCGTTTTCAAAATTTTCGCACTTTTCAGAATCCAAAAAGACTCTGAAAACCGCCAAATCGATTCCAATCACCTACGAAACGGATCCGGCTGTTTTGGAAAAAGAAAGACGTCTGAAAATTGCCGAAAATCGGGAGAAAATGAGAAAAAAACGAGAGAAAAAGATGAATAAAACGATGGAAGAGTTTAAGGAAGCACAAATTACAATGAGAAAATTGAAGGAGGAGAAAATGGTGAATTTTTCTAAAATTTTCAGAAATTTCTAGAATTTGCGCAAAATTTTTTGGAACGTTAACGGAAATTCCAAAATTTTAAAGACAACAAAAAATTTGTTATGTTTCTATTATCGAAATTTTCGAGAATTCCAAAAAATTATTTTTAAAATTTCAAAAAAACAAAAACCCCAAAATTTCTAAAAATTTCAAAGACTACTGTAATTTTGCAGCTTTCCGAAGACTCAACGCAACCAATGAACTCTGATTCTATCGAGAAGACTGGAACAAAATCTGAAGAAATAATTGAGCCAGAAAATATAGGAAAAGTTGATAAAAAGTTGCAAAAGGAACTCGAAAAGCTGGAAAAAACACAGGTTTTGAATATAAGCATTCTGAATTGCTCAGCTCAAATCGATTTTAGATTCCAAAAAACGAGAAAAAAGTTTCAAAATCGTTGAATTCGGGAAGTTTCAGTGAGGAAGATCTGGGAGATGTGAAGCTGGTTGATGAGGATCCATATGCGGGTACTGTAGATTACTGTAGTTTCTAGTGGTTACTGTAACATAGTGGAGTTTTAAAGATTACTGTAGTTTTGCAAGATTACTGAAGTTTTTGAAATTTTTGTAGTTTCTTCATGGAACTGTAGTTTTTACGAGTACTGTATTTTTCAAGATGACTGTAGTTATCAAAATGTTTGAAGTTTTGAGACCACTGTAGTTTTCAAGATTACTGTAGTGTCTTGATATTACTGTAGTTTTTTTTTCAGCTGCCAAGAAGCACATTATTAAGAAAAGGGCCCAAGAACTGGCACGAAGGAAACAAAACGAGGAGCTAATAAGAAAACGTTTGGAGCGGGAAAATGTGAGAATATCGAATTGAAAAAACCGAAAAAAAATTCTGAATTTCCGGATTTCCAATTTCCGAATATCTTTTTATTGATTTTTATATTTTCCAGTGTTCCTATTTGACCAGTCCGGATGACACTCTCAAAAACATCTCCTCGATTCAATTTGAATCTCAAATTTCTCAAATTCAACGGAAAAAGAAGCAACGAGAATCAAAAGAGAGTTCAGCGGAATCTCAGGATGGCACACTTGTGGTAGATCAAATTTTAAAAAAATCGATAAACCAATACATTTTTTCAGGAACCCAAATCCAACGAGCTCTATATTCAAGACATTCCGGAAAGAGTTATGCAATGAGAAAACTTTTTTATTTTTGAAAAAAAATGAATAAAATTTTTCGAATTTTAAAATTTTCAATCTACAGTATCCCTTTCACTCTAAAAACTGCAATCGAAGAGTTTTGATCCCCAGTCATATAAATTCCGTCATCTTTTTTTGTAAATTTTCAACAATCAATTTTCCAAGAAATGGGTTATAAACCGTAGCTCCAGATTCGACGGTTTTGTTGTTCTGAAAAAAATTAAAACTTGTCAATAGAGCGAATTTGCGTCTTCTCACTTTCACATTCATCCAGAATTCACAATTCTCAGCTTTTACGTCATCTCCTTCTGAGGAGCAAATTCTTAAAATGTGCTCGAATATTTGATTTTCCCATTTTGTCCGAACTCTTCGATAAGTATCATGGAGTGGTAATGGGATGTAAGCGATGAAGCGGCGCTGTAGAAAATAATGCAAAATTGCTCCATCGAGAAATATTCAAATTTTGAGCTGCAAGCCTTTCTGTTCAGTGGAGCGCGGTTGCCAAAAATTTAGTTTTTAAAAGTTCAATCACCAATTTCAATGTACATATACAGCAAATTCAAACAAAACTTTGAAAAAAAAACTGCGCTCAGCTGGACAAAAATGTTTTAGCTTGTTGTTAAAGTTCTTACCAAAACATACATTCTTGGAATATCTTCTGGAACTTTCAGAAAATTTTTATCGACGTAAAGATAAGGATTACGGTGGAGCCATTTTCGAATGAACAATCAGAATTAGAAGGGAAATCAGAAAAATTGGGTAATTCACAGACATTTTGGTAAAAGTAGAAAGCAAAGTGAAAGTGGAAAAGGGAAAAAAATCTGCTACGCAATAGTTCAAAGAATACAAAATTTCCCTCCTATGGATAATCCGATCATTCCAATTCGTTTTGAATTGTTATCTATTTAAAGAATTGTTGTCGAACCTCAGAGTCTCAGAATCCTAAAAAACTAGTATTTTCGATTCAAAATGAATCCGATCGCCTGGGTATACATTCCAATTTGCAGTTCTTCTTCACATAACCATAACCATAAATGTCTGGAAGTGTCTCTGTATCATTTTCTAGAATCTTCTGGACAACCGAAACACACATTTCCTTTAATTTCACTTTCACTCTATTTCCTTTTACAAGTATCATTCATACCCCTCCCCCTTCCTCTTTCTCTAAATAGGCTCCGCCCACTTTCTTGTCTTTTTCTTTTTGTATTCAGAATCAGTAGACGTTACCTTTTGCCGAAAACCTGCGACAAAATGCTTCTCCTTTTATTCGCATTTCTTCTGTCTTTACAGCTGTTCAGGGTCAGGTTAGTCTAATAATTTTATGACGCTATTTTAGAAAAAAAAAGATAAGGAGGTCAGAAAAAAAAAAGGAGAAAAGACAAAGAAAAATCGCGATTCAAGAGGTCAAAAGACAGAAGATTTAACAATAAGACTAGAAGTTGTTAAGTTTAGTAGTTTGATACTTTGTTATTTTCGTAGTCGAAACATTTGTGGTTCTTTTGAGGTTTTCGATAAATTCCACAAAAAAACTTTTTTCAGAAAGATTTAGGAATTTTGGAATCCAGCGTTTTTAGAAGTTTCGTAGTTAATCATTTCTTTCCTGAAAACTCCAAATGGCTCTTGAAATCGAAAATTCAATTAGAATCTCAGAATCTCAAAGTCTTGGATATTCAGAAAATCCTTAATTTAATTCTTAATTAAAGCTTTTTTTAATGCTGAGTTTCTCAAATTATTAAATGCTGAGTTTTTGAAAATCTGAAAATCCACTAGAATTTCAGAATTTTGTAAACTTCAAGAATGCAAAATCGTTTGAAACATTCGAAAAAAAAAAGAAAAAATTTAGAATCACAAAATCTCAGAAACTAGGAAATTTTGAAAATCAATGAAAATACAGGAAACTTAAATTAGATATTTTTCTAAATACGGAAGCTTGGATATTGTCAAATTCAAAAATTCAGGGATTTCCAAAATTGAAAGTTTGAAAAATTGAGAACTTCCACCAAATTTTAAAAATTCTAAAAATTTGCAGAATTGAGAGTTTCAGAATCTCAGAATTTCAGAATCTCAGAATTTCGGAATTTCAGAATATCAGAATTTCAGAATTTCAGAATCTCAGAATCTCAGAATCTCAGAATATCAGAATTTCAAAATTTTAAAATCTCAGAATGTCAGAAATTCAAATTTCGAAATTTCGAAATTTCATAACCTCAGATTGCGAATTTCACAATTTCAAATTTTCAGACTCACAGAATTTCGAAATCTTTGAATATTCAATTTTTCGAAAAACGACTAATGACCTTCCGATTAGTCTAATTAGTCTACTCACCCATTTTCTAGAAACTTCTGTCTCATCCTTTGAAAAACCTATAAAAGCTCTCATTAGGCAGAAAAAAATCAATTTCAAATAATTCTTTTTGGAACCAACTTCCAATTACCAAAAATTTTGTTAGGTTGGAAGTCATTTTTTCGAAATCTTTCATGACTGAACAAATTGGAAAATTTTAGGAATCATAAAATTAGGACAGTATAGAACTGTAACGGAAAGTAACTGTAACGTAACACAAACTCTCTAATAGAAGACATCACCCATATGTTTGAGCCCAATTATCTCGGTTGCCATGAAAGATATCAGAAAAGTTTAAACTGATTAACTATTTATCATATTATCAAAAATATTTTATCAGTCTTTTTGATATCTTTCACAGGAACCGAGATAATTGAGCTCAAAGAACGCATAATGTGGGATATGAGCATTCATGATAATAGTCGTTATAGAACTACGATATTGTATTGTTGTTTAAAGGTACTCGGCTTTACATTTGAAAATTCAACTTTTTTTTTCATTAGCGCACATTTGCAACAAAGTTTCGGTTCAAAAGTCAACTGACCCCATCGCTCAATCGACCTTTGATTTCAAGTGGCCCTCCATTCTTGAAAAACGGAAACCCTAAACGAAAAAAACGTGCAAATGCAGTTTCCTATTCCTCCCGTTGCAATTATCAAGAGGATGGGGGTTTTAAACGGTCTTGTTCTTTTCCCCAATTCAGACAGAAAAATAGAAGACGTTCTCCTTCTCGATTTTTATGGGTTTACTATTAGTCACCTTTTTTCTAGCCACACACAGGATTCAGAAGAAAAGAAGAAGATAGTAAAATGAGGGAATGGAAAACGATGACTTTTGAACTAAACGAATGGGCAAGAATAAATTGGAAAGGTACCTAGGAACCTATAATTGGAAATTGGTTTCATTTCTTCTTTTGGCAAAATGGTCAACTTGTAGATTCCCCTTTTGCTGACTAGGTTGTAGTCAAGGGACGAAATTTGGCAAAACTACACGATTACAATGAGCACACTTATCTGGGTACCTATGAGAGATATCAAACATATGTCAAGTGATAAAATGTTGCTAAAGTTATGTTAAACAATTTATTTGTTGATAAATTTTTGACACTTTTTATAGGAATCGAGATAATTGAGCTCAAAGAACAAGCTTAAGAAGTTAGACATCAGCAAGGTCTCCATAGCGCCGTCTAATTTATCTCGGCTCCTGGATGAGATATCCACAATGTGTAAGCTAATAAAATGTTACTGATATTATGATAAACATTTCATCAGTTAACAAAATTTTGATATCTCTCATAGGTATCGACATAATTGAGCTCAAAGTGCAAGTAGTGGCTTTGTTACGCGTTGGTGCCCTATCTTGATTTCAAAGGTAAAAAAGGCAATATTGAAGCAAAAAATCTGGACAACTTTTGTCGAAAAACGGCAAATTTGAAATGGAATTTTAAACAATCGAGGCGAATTTATGAAATCGCATAGCTACCAGCTCAGCTACGCGGTCTTGAAAAAAGCTGCCGACTGGTAACCAATTCCACCATTACACTTTGAGCTCACATATCTCGGTTCCTATAAGAGATATTAAAAATCTGTATCCTGATAAAATTTTGTCCTATTATCACCAACATTTGTATAGTTTACAAATTTTTGATATCTTGCACAGAAATTGAGATAATTGAGCGTGAAGAAAAATTAAAGGGTAGCGTTTACGATAGTCTAGTCCTGTCGTTGGCAAGGTAATACTTTGGATGCTCTAGTTGTCTTTAGCTTCTTTTCCTATTATCTTCCTTCCCTAATTCTTACCTTTTGTTCCTCCCAGTGAGACCATCCTGACAATTTATACTTAATTCGTTCCGAGACGCGTTTCCGAATCTCGTTTCCTTTTTTCGCACACACAGACACAAAACGCTAAATTTGCAACCCGAACCGCCTCATTCACCATTACAACCTGACCAATTCACACCTGGAATGGATTTGAAAAAAAAATAACATCAAGGGGAACAAAAATGTTTTACAGAGGCGCATGCACCTTCCTGGATCATCAAGCATGTGACGAGGTGTGTAAGACGGACAACTTCTGGTACGGCCATTGTATTGGATGGGATGGCTTCAATTTTAGGTAGGAACGAGTCACAAAAAAAAACAAAAAGAAACAAAAAGAATTGCATCGACCGGGAATCGAACCCGGGCCGCCCGCGTGGCAGGCGAACATTCTACCACAGGTAAAGGGGGACTGTCGAAAAACTGCTAAATGACAGTTGAAGAGGCGCAAACTGGCGAATGACTGCTAGTTGGCAGCCGAAGGAGAACTGACGGGCCGTCGACGGTCCGTCGACGGACAGTCGGTACCGATTGGAAAACATACTTGAAGGTTCTGATTGGAAATCATGCAGAAAACAATTTCTCCTACTCCCACTAGATTATAAGAAATGATAGAATCTTATTTTCCTCAAATATGACCACCTCAAAAAATAGGTTGTTGAACGACTGCTGAATGGCAGTCGAAGAGGCGCTGACTGGCCAACGACCGGTGGTTGGCGGTCCAAATTCCTTCAGAATGGAAAATTTTGTTGAAAAAATAGTTCTCTCTAAAAACATCATAAAAGTCATAGAGGGGTCTGGGAAGCTAAAAAATGCGTTATTAGAAGCATTTCTATATCAATTAGGATTTGAGGCGCGGTTGGTGAAAAACTGCTAAATGACAGTCGAATAGGCGCTGACTGGTTGATGGCGCCTGAATAAAAAAATATGTTTGAACATTCCTTAGTATATATCTAGAAGCATGTGTTAGCATTTTCGTGTTCCAAGATTTTTACTCGAGTTGTCATTGCATGATAATAATCAATCGTTCAGGACACATGTTCTCGGTCATATTTTTCGATTTGCTTAAGATTTCCGACGAAATTTGTTTTTAATTTTGTACAATTTGTGTCTTAAAGTGCTATTTTTCCGTTTTTCTTCCAAAATCACAACAATTCGTTTTTTAAATGCTGTTTTATAACTGCCGAGCTTCAAAATTTCGGTCATAGAGATTTGCAACGACACTCCGAAATCCCGCAACGACACTCCGAAATCCCGGCTGCGCCTTGTTTAGCGGCACAAGACTTTACTAACTTTTCGTCTTTTTTCAGTTTCTTTCGCTTTTCGAAGTGTTCTCTTATTGAAATTCAGTATTTTTCGCTTAATTTATATAACTACTGGCATAAAGAAGCACTGAAAAGCTTTGCGCACTTTGGCTCTGCGCGTTTTTAGTTGAAAACGCAGAAAAAATCGGCGAAAACTCCTTGCGATGAAAGTTTCGAAAGTTTCGCTATTTTTGCTTCGGAACGTTACAAATGCAGCCTTTCAGGAGTTTTTATATGGTGAGTTGGAAGTTTTTATACGTTCCGAAGCAAAAACTATCGTAAACTCTGAAATTGTTCATGCGTTGTCGAAAATTCACCTCGTCGATACTTCATAGGTGTGACGTTTTGCAAGTGCAATGTTTGGAAAGTAACAACTTTGCAAGGTTCGCACAAAAATTAATACGGAAATCAGTTTTTGCTGTTTCTGACTCGTTTTTAAAAGTTCACATGCGAAACGTCGCCCTTTTGAAGTCTGCTTTAAAAATGCCGCAGAGCCTAAAAATCTAAAGATTTTTTACTTGCCAGTTTTTAGTGTTGCGAACGCATCAATTTTACTTATTTTGAACGTACTTATAAGCGAAAAATACTGTTCAATGAGAGAAATGTACATACCGAAAAACGAAAAAAGTTGAAAGGGAGAAACGAAGAAGAGAAAGAGAACGAAAGGAAATAAAAAAAGCTTCTGATTTTTCGAGTTGAGTTTCTATGAAGTTTGAACTTTGCGAAAACACAGAAAGAAAATCGGAAGTTCTGTCTCATTCAGAACTTGTGATTTCTTATGTGTTTTCTCTTGTTCTACTCATAAAAATTCACCTTTGAAAAAATCAGAGTTACTTTTTAAAAACAATACACAATCCACAGAAACTATAAGTTGAATAAAGAATTTCTATTGTTTATTACCTGTTTAATGATGAACTGTCAAGAAGGCGCTATCATTATAGACGGTCCGTCTTCGAGGCGCAAATCGTTACAGACGGACCGTCGGCGGCGCGCGATTCGACTGCCGACTGTTCGCTTTTCGGCAGTCCGCGCCCGCCAGACGGCCCGTTTTTCGGCAGTCCCCCTCTACCTGTGACCACTGAACCACCGATGCGACGAAGGAAAGGGGAGTGGAGGCCGTATAGGAAGGAGGGAGAAGCGGGGGTTGGGGAGAAAGAGACGCAAAGAGGAGCGAATAAAGAGAAGAGTAAAATTTTTCGAGGGATGCGGAAAATTAAGAATTGCGAAATTTTTTGGGAACTTTCAAGAGGAAAACCGGAGATCTCAAAATATCAAAAATCATAATTTTTTTTTTCAGCTGCAAATGCTACGAATATCTCGCTCCGTTGGATGGGAAAATTTGTGAAACACGGCAAATGGCTTGTTCGGAGAAATGCAAAGATCAGGTAGGTGTAAAAACCGAGAATCTAGAATTTTTTTTAATTGTCAAATTTTTCATGGAACGCCCTTTTTCAGAATCATTTTCGAGCTTTAAAATTGAATAATTTGAATTCTACACTACCAAAAACATAGTGGCGCTAAAGGGAATCGAACTTACAGGGGTTTCTGCTCCAAAGACAGACTTCTTACCAGTTGCGCCATTTGGGTGCCGCGGGCTTCATCCGCCGCCACGGTGGTGCAACCGGGAAGACGACTGACTTTGGAGCGTAGACCCCGACAAGTTCGATTCCTTCAAGCTTCAATAGGTTTTTAAGTGCGTAAAACTCAATTTTTTGGGGTTCAAACCTCAAAAATGGCTCTGGAAACTAATTCTTGCTCGAAAAAAATTCGAAAACCAAATTTGTTTCAGGGTTCCGAAGGCGGTTTCTGTTTCCCTCAAATGGATTCCCGTAAATCCCTCCGTACCGCCTGTGAATGCTTCAAAAAACTGCAAGTTTTGAGACGAAAGAAGAGAAGTGTCCGAAGAAGTTATCAACGCGTTGTTTAACTATTTTATTTTATTGTTTATATACATTTAGGTTTTCACATAGAGATTTTAACGAGAACCAATAAAATTGTCATCATTATCGTGGAGAAGGGTCCTTGAGATGAGTTGCAGAAGTCCTTATTGCAGTAGCAATCGACGCGTTTCTGAAATTCAAGAAATAATAAGGTGACCTAGTTTTCTGTAAAAGTTAGGCCATCACTTACAGCAGTGTATCCATTGGTTGAGTTGCTCACATCACCGAGCTCATAGCATTGGTTGCTTGGAACTCCGAGATTATCCTCTCGCAGAGTAGCACAACCCTGAAAATTGGTGGTGGCCTAGAAAACCAAAACTAGTCCCTCAAACCTTGGTATAACTAGTCCATTTCAGATTGACACCACTGTAACCGATTTGGTAGACTTCTGAAAACAATTGGCAACATTTGGAAATTTTGAAAACTACAGTAATCCCTTACTGGCTCGTTTGATGCAGAACGTTCCATTGGTGCACATATCACTGCCTGATGTCTTTTTGCAGTCACCGAAGAGCTGAAAATGAGAGATTTTTAGAAAAAAAGATTTTGAGATTTTTTTAAATCTGAAAATCGCAAAATCTGAGATTTTGAGATTTGGAATTTTCAAAAATTTTGAAATTCAGAAAGTCCAAAAATTTTGAATTTTTCAGAATTCAATGGAATTTCAGAATCTCAGAATCTCAGAATTTCAGGATCTTAGAATCTCAGAAATTCAGGATCTTAGAATCTCAGAATCTCAGGATCTCAGGATCTCAGGATCTCAGAATCTCAGAATCACAGAATCTCAGAATATCATAATCCTAGAATCCTAAAATCTCAAAATCTCAGAATCTTAAGAACCTCAGCATTTCAGAATTTCAGAATCTTCTCAAAACACCCCAAAAACTCACACTATCCACAGTAATATTCAATTTGCTGAGTGCAGTTTTAGCGAATTTCGGTATTTTCTCAGCTCCTCCACATTGATGGCATTTCAGTCCATCTACCGATGACGTAGCAGTCATCAGAATCGCAAAAGTCAAAATGAAACTCATTTTTTCCATTTTTCTTCTAGAGGATTTTTGAAAAAATGAAGTTTCGCTCTTCTTTTTGGGGGAAAAAGGTTTTATGAGTGTCAGTTGCTTTCCTAGAATATTCCTAGAATATTCTAATGGTCCATGACGACCCGCCAATTGTTTTCAGATGTTTCTATGGAGAATTTTCGGGGGAAAGAAACCAAAAAGAATAATACAACTATCTTCTTTTTTTTTGTTGAAACAAAAATTGTGAAATCTGAGATGAAGAAAAATAAGATTCTGCATAGAATAGACTAAAGTTTTAGGAAGAAAAAAAAACATAACTTTATAACTTTTTGATAATTCGTGACTTTCTGAAATTTAGAAACTCTGAAATTCGAACATTTAATCAGACTCAGAAATTTAAAAAAGTTCCAAAAAACTCCAAAGAGCTAAAATTTTGAAAATTCCAAACAAATTAAAAAATCTCGCGTGTCACAATTCATATAAATTAACTGTAACCGAGATACAATATATACAAATACCAATCCCTTACTTTCCAACTTTCTACCAAATACTGTGTAAGTGTCCTTTCCCCCAAAAATTTGAACATATTTTTCCTCCATAAGCAGTTTCTCATTTAAATATCGAAACAAAAAATCATGGCTGACGATGGATACGAATTGATGGGTCCGGCTCAAGGACCATTCGCTCCGGCTCCAATCGGACCACCGTTGGCAGTTGGACAAAAACCTACTGTAGCTCCGCCCACTGCTAAACCACTTCCAGCGATTGTGAACCAAAAAAAGGCGGTGCCAAAGAGAGCGGACACCGAAACTGATTCGAGTGTTGAGCCGACTGCAAAAAGTGTTGCGGAGGGAAGAAAAGGAAAGAGTAGTGTGAGATCAGTGATGACCGAGCCTGCAGAGAAGGTAGGTTCAAAAAGGCCTGAAAAAAATTCGAAGAAGCAGAAATATTCCAGCAAACTTTGTCTAAAAATTATTATGCCAGAGCCTTTTTAGCATTGAAAAAAATCCAAAAAAAACCCGATTTTCAAACTGTCCGAAATCAAGAATACGGCTTTCAGGCCAATTTTCAAGCTTTAAACTCAAAAATTGAAATTCTACGTCCTAAAAAACCTATATACCCCAAAAGGAATCGAACTTTCGGGTCTCCCGCTCCAAAGTTAATCCTCTTCCCGCCTGCGCTATCCTTGCCAAACGTCGGGCGGCACTCTGATGGCGCAACCGGTAAAAGGGTGAACTTTTGGAGCAAAAGAGCTGCAAGTTCGATTCCTTTTGACTTGTATAGGTTTTTGGAGGCGTAGAGTTTAATTTTTTAAGTTTCAAAACTTTTAAATCGCACTAAAATTCTTTTATTTTTTACAGAGTCGCATGGAAAGTTGCTATCTCGACGGAAACGCAATCAGTCAACGTCCGAATACCCTGGACATTTGTCAATTGTCCGGTGCCATTTTTCTGACCCTCATCGTTGTGAGCATTTCGATTCCGGTCATTTTGACGGCCGTTGGACAAGCGGATATTGAGTGGATCAAGACTAAATTAGCGAAACTTTAAATGAGAGAATAAAAGATTTTTTGGGCTGTTTTTTCTCTAATTTGAAATGTGTTATTTTTTGCTTTTTTAGAGCTTTGAAAGTCAAAAAACTACCAAAAGACTTCCGGATTTCTAATCTCTTTTCCCTTTTACCGTAATCCCTAGACAAAAAAAATAGAAAATCCGGGATTTTCGAATATCTCCGAATGGACAGTATAATGACGAATTACGAGGGTCTTTCTTTTTTTTCTTTTTCTTTAAAGGTGGGGGGACATGAAAAAAATAATGTTCTCGAAATTCCGTTCAAAGATGCCCCTCGAGGAATTGAACTTGTGAGGGCGATGATTAAGGGTGCGGCGCCGCTACCGACTGAGCCACGCGGGCAAAGAGAAAGCGCTCGCCCGATTGCATACATAAAGGCGAGGACGACAGCTGTACGCAGAGTGACATTAAGCGTTGTACACCGTCACGGTAGAATGCATACTCTAGCTACAAAAAAAACTACGAAAAATCTCCTGTCCCCCCACCTTTAAAGTACAATAATTTTTGGAAAATTTTGAAAAAATTGAATCTTGAATTTCTGAAATTTTTGAATTTTAGAATTTCCGAATTTCTAAGAAATTCCTAATTTTTCGAATTTCCAGGAATTCCTGAATTTCTTCTGGTTTTCAAAAAAGTTTTTGGAATTTTCGGAATTCATGCCTACTTCATTAAAAAAAGTGTGTGCTAGATTTTCTAGATTTTTTCGGAATTCCGAAAATTTCCTGAATTTCAAAAAGTTTTGAACTTCGAAAAAATTTACGGTTTTCCAGGAATTTCTGAACTTCTGAAGTTCAGAATTTCTAATTTTCAAAAAACATTCTGAATTTCTGAAAATTTTGATTTTTTTCTGAACTTTTAGAACACCAATTTTTGGAATTTCTATATTTCTTCAAGCTATCAAAATCCACCGCGCTGCGCCTTTAATCCCATATCTAAGCAATTTGTTAACTTGTCGGTCGACTGAACATCGGCTGTTGGTGTCCTATTAAGTCGTCTCCATCCGATTTCTCTTTCTCTCTCTCTCTCTCTCTCTCTCTCTCTCTCTCTCTCTCTCTCTCTCTCTCTTTTCCTTCTCATATATCTTGGTAATACGCACAACTGGGTCAATGCAAAAGTCATCGGAAGAAGAAAGAAGAAGACGTTAGAAAAGACAGTTTGGTTTCCGAAAAAGAAAATCTTCCGTTTTATTATTGGATGGTTTCCGTTGATGTAAATTTAGTTTAGAGACAATTGGATTACAAGCGCTTCTTATTTAGTGAAACTTTTTGGTCACCAAAAAAGTCTGCGTACCTAAACTTGGGATTGAAAACTAAAAAAAATGTAGTTGAACACCCTCAAGGCGTTTTTGAACTGCGGAAAGTGCCTTCCTCAACGATTTAAAAATCGAGTTCACGCCCCCAAAAACCTATACACTCCCAAAGGAATCGAACTTGTGGGTCTACGACTCCAACTTCAATCCTTTTCCCACCTGAGCCATCCTTGTGAGCGCAATCGATGCGTGGGGTGTAGCTAGGGCGCCGCGCTCTGGTGGCGCAACTGCTAAGAGGGTGAACTTTAGAGCAGAAGACCCACGAGATATATTCCTTTGGGGTCACATAGGTGTTTGGGGGTGTAGAATTTGATTTTTCGATTCCCAAACTTCAGAAATTGCTCTTGAAAATACATTTAGGCTTCGAATAGCTTAATTTTCCGATATGAAGGCTTTTTTCAGTGTTCAACTCCTTTCTCGCTCATTTCACTTGATATCCCTTTCTTCCAATTCCATTATCTCCTCGGGGTCTTATCTCACCTCTTCCGACCCCCAAATTTCCACTTTTAATCGTATTTTAATCGCCTGTTAACTGGAAGAAGATTAGACAATTTGTTTTGCGACAGGAACAATCCCCACCGTTCCGATTTTATGGTTTTTGTGGTTTGATAATAGACCAAACTACAGAAATTTTGCATTTTCGGTAGGTTCAAGACACAAAAATGTGAATACAGAGCATTTGAAAACCAGAAAATTGAGTTTAACGCTCTAAAAAACCTACATGCCCCCGGAGGAATCAAACTTGTGGACTTCTGCTCCAAAGACATCCCTTCTACCAGTTGCGCCACCGGAGGGCGGCCAACGCGCCAATTGCGCCTGTGATGATACCTGAGGCGGGAAGAGGATTGACTTTGGAGCAGCAGGCCCATAGGTTCGATTCCTTTTGGGGTGTATAGGTTTTTGGGGGTGTGGAATTCGATTTTTTGGGTTTTAAACCTCACAAATCGCTTTGAAAGTGTCAATTTGCCATCAAAAGTTGGCCTCGGGCACCTTTGAGTTTATAGGTTCTTTTTGGAGCGCGAAATTCAAAATTCGTTAGAATTAATTTTTCTTGGATACCTTCTCCGAACTTGTCACCTTGTCCAAAACCCATTCCACGTGTCAATCCATCGTGTTCACACCCATATATGCATGTACCTATAAATGTCACTTTCCATTCAAATGTCACTTCCCCTTCCCACCACTAATTTCTCGGATCCCTTACCATACACAAAGGGTAATTCAACCAATTTGTACTGTTCCTTGTTCTCTTCCTCACAATTTTCCATGACCTCATCGTTCTAGGCAAGCGTGAAATTTTTGAGGTTAGAAAAGCTTGTACAAACAATTCCTTTGCCACTTTTTAAGATCAAAAAATCGATTCAACCCAATTTTCACTTTAAAAGTTGATCTTTAAACTTTCGGTGGTCCAAAACATCTTTCCAGTGCGATTTTTGAAGTTTTGAACCCAAAAATCAAATTTTACGCCTAGAAAAACCTATAGAAGCCCAAAGGAATTGAACTTTTGGGTCTTCCAACGTCAGATCTTTTACCAGTTGAGCCACGCGGACGCCAAAGCGCGGAAGGCACTTTTTTGAAGTTGGTAAAAGCACAATTATGGTATTTTTGGTTGAAATGCCTAGCTAACTAGCCACCCCTATTTTCTTTCCTTCTCCAGCCAAAATCTTAGACCTCATGTCCATTCATCCCATCCCAACAGTTACAATTATACAACACAACAATTGTACAAGTTTTACCCGAAAACTTTCTCCTTTCTTCTTCTTATGCCTTCTTATTCCTCTCGCTTTCTGATGACCAGTCATCCAAAAGGGATTCACTCTCGTTTTCCCTTTTCAAATAGGTTTTGTGGGTGTCGAGTTTTCGCATCTTCTTTCGAAGCAAGCTTTTGACGTTCCTTTTGCTTAGTCACCCGTTTTCCAGAAGTTTCATGGCTTACGGTGAGATTAGCCAGCTTTGAAACTCATAAAAATCAAATTTTACGCCTAGAAAAACCTATATACCCACAAAGGAATCGAACTTGTGGGTCTTCTGCCCCAAATTCAGCCCTCTTACCAGTTGCCCCACGCGTACGCTAAAGCACGGGCGTCCTGCTTGACTCCACGCTTCGCCCGCATTCACAGGAATAGCTCAGTCGGGTGGACTTCAGAGCAGAATACCAATAGGCTCGATTTCTTTTGGCTTTTATAGGTTTTTTGGGGTTTAGAGTTTGATTTTTTAGAGTTCAAAACTCGAAACTCGGTCTGAAAGGCATAGTTTTGCTCTAGAGTGGTAATTTTTTAACGTTTTAATTACCCAGAAATCAGTGTTACAATCTTTTTTTGATGTTTTTTTTCCTGAACTGTCACTCTCTTCAGAAAGCCTTTCTGAACAGGTATACATGTTCCTGGTTCTTTGTGTCCCTCGTTTTTTCTATTTAATTGAACTGGATCTTTCTCACTCTGACGAGGAGTGTGAAAAACCTTTCTTTTTAGGAATTTCTTGTAATTTTCCTAACGAAACCGACAGCAAGCAGCACATCAAGCAAAAGGGCTAATCAGTTATCTTCCACCTGACTTTTGGAGAAGCTAGGAATTTCGGATGGACACACCTTTTAGACGGCGATTTTCGAGAAATCCATCAGGGTGTGGCTAGGCGTTTGTATTGGAAATTCCTCGATTTTACGATTAACAACATTAAAAAGTACTGTTCCCAACGATTTTCCAGCTTTAAAACTTGAAAACACGAATTTTACACTATCAAAAACCTATATGCTCTAGAAGGAATCGAACTTATAGGTCTTCTGCTCCAAAGTCAATCCTCTTCCCGCCTGTGCTATCATTGCGGGCGCGGTCGGCAGCTCAGGCGCATGTACAGTGCCTAGGTGCCGCTTTTTGGGTGGCGCAACTGGTAAGCAGCTCGACTTTGATGCGAAGACTCACGAGTACGATTCATTCTTTGGAAAATAAGTTTTGAAGGACGTAGAATTCAATTTTTTGGGTCTTAAACCTCGAAAATCGCTCTGGAAGGCACACTTAGGTTTCAGAATGATCGATTTTCCGTTGTTCTTTTCGTTTTTTCCTTCATCCAATTTACCGCACAGTATTAGTAGGAAACCTTCCCACACATTCTCCTTATCTTACTAATCCATCTCAATCAGTTTTCCCCGCCGACTCATGTCTTTCAACATCTCCCTCTAAAAAGTTTCAATGATGAGAATTTGTACTACTAGGTCATCTTTGAAACCCTCCTCTTTCTATATTTTCTCCCGAGAAGTATTACCAAAGCCCTTTGGAGACATCAATCTCTTCTCATTCGATACCGTCTTTTCTCCTTATCTGTCACCCATCATCGCCCTTGTATCTTTTTCGGGACGGTGGTAGGCGGAATGTGTATTCATGAGAGAAACCAATGATACTGTTCCTGGACTCTCCGAAAATGTCTTTTAAAAAGTTTTCATCCGAGCATAAACCACTTCCAATGCGATTTTTGTTGCTTGAAACACAAAAAATCGATTTTCACATTACCAAAAATCTATATACCCCAAAAGGAATCGAACTGGTGAGTCTTCAGCTCCAAAGTCAATATTCTTCCCACCTGAGCTAACCTCACGGGCGCGGTCGACGCGTGGGGCGCAGCTAGGGCGCCGCTTCTTGGCGTCCACGTAGCGCAACTGGTAAGATGTATGACTTTGGAGCAGAAGACCCTCAAGTTCGATTCCTTTGTGGGTATATAGGTTTTGAGGGCGTGAAATTCAACTTTCTGGCAAAAATCTTCATCTGGGCACGAATTCCGTTTTTTTTTCTGGTTCAAAATTTGGTTAGAGAATGTTTTCTGAGTCTTTAAAGCATATATTCTCGTCCTACGAATTTTCCAACCACAAAAACTGATTTTGAACATTGAAAAATGCTTTTACAACGCAATTTGCAAAGTTTCGAACCCGAAATATCACATTTTTCGCTGCCCAAAACCTATACATCCTCATAGGAATCGAACCTATGGGTCTCAGCTCCAAAGTCAAGCCTCCTCCCGCCTGAGCTATCATTCCAGCCACTATTGGCGCATTGGTGCGCTGCTAGGGTGCCTGGATGCCGCGCTCTGGTGGTGCAACTGGTAAGAGGATGGAATTCGGAGCAGATGACCCACAACTTCGATTCCTTTTGGGTTTTATGGGGTTTTAATAACGTATGGCTCAATTTTTGAATTTCAAACTTCGGAAATTGCTTTGAAAAACATTTTTCGACTTGAGTTTTTTTTCATGTAAACTTTTCCGTTCTGTCCTTTTTCTATAATCTCTTGACCCGATCAAAACTTTCTCATGTCTTGTAACTTTCCGTTATCCTCTCCGCCAAGAAAATCCCTTTGTCCGCCGACTTATAATTACTTGTTCGCCGCTTCCGAGATGTATGTGTATGTGACTTTCACTCGAGAAAATGGTATCTAATTATCAATTCGCTTGTTTCTTGTTACTTTCTCCTAGATTTCTCTCTTTCCCCGTTTATCCAGATTTCCCATTTTGGCCGATTCACTGATTTAGCACCCATCATCATCGTCTCCTCTAGAGATATATATTGTGTTGATTTATAGGTTCATATAAATTGGACCACTTTTAGGTGTTGGCAGCATCCAGAAATCCTGTATTTGTGTCCAGTTAGGGAATGGGCAATCCGTTTAGTCACCTAAATAGGATTGGATAGGTGAAGGTGTGTCAGAGACTGGTTTTTTAGATCCCAAAAAGTGATGTTCAGTCTGATTTTTGGGGTTTAGCAGTTGAAATTTTGGATTTTATAGGTAGAAAAACCCGTAGACGTTAAATGGAATTTTTGCTATTCACTTTTGTACTGTTTTCTTTCTCAAAAGAGGCTTTCCAAGCCGATTTTCTAACTTGAGGACTCAAAAAATTGAATGTAGAAAAACCTATAGACCCCATAAGGAATTGAACTTGAGGGTCACCTGCTCCAAAGTCAACCTTCATACCAGTTGCGCCACCGAAGCGCGGCGCTTATCGTGTCAACCGCTCAGGTGGGAAGAGGATTGACTTTGAAGCAGTAGATACCCAAGTTTGCTTCCTTTTGGGGTATATAGGTTTTTGGGGGTGTAGAATCCCATTTTTCGAGTTCCAAACGACAAAAATCGCTCCGGAAAGTAATTTTTCAAACATTTTTCATATTCCGGATGTCCTTTAACCCATTCCTAACCAGATTGTATCATGTAATCTTCTAATCCACCTCCTCCCCATCAACTTTGCACTATTGCACAACACACTCCTCCCCTCTCCCCTCTTTTTCTTCATAT